CAAGTGCCGTACGAGATATACAATCAGGATCGCCCCAAATATACATTTCCGACGTATAAAGTGGAGGGCCAAGTCCAAGAAGTTGGGAGTGCCACAGTTCATAGAATACCCGTCTCCGAACCGACCGGTGAAATTGATGTTGAGGTGTTTGTGCCAACGCAAGATGCGATCGCTCGGGGCGGCCTTTCGCGAAATGATCGGTTACCGGCTCTTGTCAACTTTCATGGCGGAGGCTTTGTGATAGGTCATCTCAAAACCGACGATTGTATGTGCAGGAAGATTTGCCAGAAAACGGGATGCATTATCGTCAATGTCGACTACAGGCTGTCTCCCGAGTTTCCTCACCCGACCCCGGTTACGGATAGCTATGATGCATTGAAGTGGACTATCAAGAATGCACGGAGCCTGGGAATCGACGAGACCCGCATAGCAGTCAGCGGCTATTCGGCCGGAGGCTGCATAGCTGCCGCGCTTGCTTTATTGGCACGAGATGATCCAAGCATGCCAAGATTGGCTCTTCAATTGCCGATTGTTCCTGTGCTAGATGCTAGATACGTGCCAGAAGAGGGATCTTGTGACCCAGAAAAGGTACCATATGAGAGCTATATCAGCTGCGAATTTGCGCCGATGCTGCCACTCGCACGGCTCGTGTGGTTCTATAACCTTTGGATAGGGAAGGGTGCAGAAAGAATTGCGCGGGCAAATGATTTTCGAGCTTCCCCAATCATTGCAGAGTCTCATAAGGATCTAGCTCCGGCAAGCATTCATGTTGCCGAAATAGACCCCCTGAAGTCTGAGGCTGAGGCATATCATGAAAAGCTGATAGCTGCTGGTACCTCTAGCAAGATCAAGATTTATAAAGGAGTAGGACACACGTTCGGACACTGGGGTGGAGAATTGCCAGCGGGGGCAGAGTTCGTCGAAGATATATGTATCGCGCTGAAGGAAGCGTTCAAGGTTTAAATCATCCCGCTTTTAACAAAGCTTACGAAGGGAAAACGTAACGTCTGGGACAACTTGATGTATCATCATCATAGACTGAGATCTTTAACCAGCGATCTGATACATATGAGTTTAGTGAGATGAATAGTCTCACACATAACACAAATGATCTGATATACCCTGGGTTGGTTGACAAAACATAATATGATGTCATACAAAACGCACTCAGGAGGTATTTAAAAGAGTTGACGTGGGAGTTCTCTTTGTCGGGGTTGGGGAAGCCCGTCGCGGAGTCTCTATTTTGCCAATACCGCCCACTGGTATCAATAGCAATGCTTATACCTGGCCTATTATCCGCACGATGGCACTCTGTGTATTGCTTGGCAGGGGATTTCCATGCAGCAATAAGCGAGTTATATTGCCCAGCCACTCATGATTCGAGTGGCTTCGATTGTTTATTGCCTCCATAGTGATGCATCGGCGCTACAGACGATCGCATGCAGTTGGCGACCTGAATGCTAGGATTGAGACGAAGGCGATGGCCTTATAATCCGGTTTCCGCAGTGCAAGTTTCTGGGATTATTTATTCTTTTGAAAGCTCTGACTACCTTCCGATTTAAGAGAAAAAGCCATCACAATGCATTTCACAACACAGTGGCCAATCGTATTTATCATAACCGTGGGTTTTGCCCAAACTCTGGATTCTCCCTTGGAATCAGGGCAATGTAAATGCTACCCAGGCGATACCTGTTGGCCATCAACAGATGACTGGACTGCTCTAAACAAGACTGTCAACGGACGACTATTTCTCGCGATTCCACCAGGGGCAGCGTGTTATAATGATTACAACGGTATAAAGACGACAAATGCCAATCAATGTGCGATGGTTGCATCACAATGGACGAACTCGACATGGGCGTATGTGATATTTCTCTGAAGTAGGACAATGGAATTGATAAATGATTACAGGGCAGACCAGCAGACAATTCCTATGACTCCGTTCTGGTCGAATAATACCTGCGAGCCAGATACTACTAGTGGCACAAATGGGTCCGAGGTGTGCGCCGCAACATGTCTGCAAGGACTATTGCCAGAATATGTAATCATGGCCAAGGTTGCGGGTGATATTGCAGCAGGCGTAAAATTTGCAAAGCAGAAGAACCTGCGACTCGTCATCCGCAATACAGGACATTGTTTCATGGGCAGGTCTACTGGTATGTATAGTCCCTGCTTGGAGTATGATTTATTTGCTGATTAAATTAGGCTTTGGTTCACTTGCTATCAATACTCACGGTTTACAGACTATGGAGTTTATAGAAAAGTATAACGGACCTGGGAATTACACAGGAAGCGCCGTGCGAGTAGGAGCCGGTGTCATGTTTCAGGATCTATACCAAGCTGCGTGGAACAAGAAGAATCCAGTCGATGTATTGGGCGGAGAATGTCCTGTATGTCATACCTACTGGCAATTTTCTACCGGAGAAAGTCGTTATACTTACTTACAACTTAGACGGTCGGAATTGCTGGCGGTTTCATTCAGGGAGGGGGTCAAGGGCCCCTATCTGGCATCTACGGCTTAGGCTCGGACAATGCTCTGTCATTTACAGTCGTCCTTGCAAATGGAGACCGCGTAAGTGCCGATGCAAAAACGAACTCGGATCTATATTGGGCTTTGAAGGGGGGTGGAATGTCAACATATGCTGTGGTGACATCAGTGATTGTCAAAACATTCCCAGTCATTCCCGTAACTGGTAAGCTTTCTACATTGGATACGCACATCAGGTGTTGACAGTCAAAGGAATGGCACTCAACATCACTGGAGAAGGAGACACATTCTGGGAGGGCATCAAAATCTGGCATTCATCCGCTCTGAGCTATGTCGATGCAGGGATTTATAACTGGTACACATTGTTACCAGGGTCTCTCGTTGCACAACCGTTTGTTGCACCAAATTTGACAATTGCCGATTTCAAGAAGGTATGGAATGTTCGAGTATCAATGAAACAGGATATTGACGCAAATCGTGTTTGCAGATAATGGACCCAATGCTTGCCCGGTTGACAGCTGCAAATGTCACCTTTTCCGTCAGCCCCATCAAGACATTCCAAAAATTCGGGGATCTTTACAACGAAATGTGGTAAGTCACCCTTATTACGAGACTGTTCATGCATGGCCATGTTGTACGGTAGTCTGAGTAGAGTCTCTGTCGTAAATCACGAAATAGCTTTCTGATAATTCCTTGATGTTTGACTGACCCGACTTGTCAAAGGTTCAATGCTTATCATGGCTCTGGAAGCAACGCAATCTATGGAGGTCGACTCATCTCACGTAAAGATGTTGCTAATAATTCGAACAACATCATCCCAACATTTCGAAAAGTCATGGAAAGCTTCAATGGCCAGGTAGCCTTCGGGGGGCACTTAGTGAATCCAGGAAATCGCGTACCTGACCCGGATGGTACCATCAGCGCTGTTCATCCGGTTTTCAGAGACACTGCCGACATCGGGATTTATCTTTACTTCACGACAACTTGCATGTCCTCAAGCGCTAGATTGCAAGCACAGGAGACATTAACGAATACGATCGGAGACATGATCAGGGCGGTTACTCCAAACAGTGCTGTTTATTCAAACGAGGTAGGCACATCCAAAACCTCGATGCCTGATCTGAAAGTTTATACTAAATCGATCAGGGTGATATCAATGAGCCAAAGTGGCAGGATGCATTCTGGGGTCCAATATACCCCAAACTACTGAGTATCAAAGAAAAATATGACCCTGATGGGGTCTTCTGGGCAAAGTCGACCCCTGGATCTGAGCAATGGCTACTCCACCAAGAGACGAGGCTTTGCAAGGCATCGGCGTAAGCTAGCATTGTGAATTACGGACCTTATAGTCCATTATGATGTTCTAGGCCTTCAACGATTTTAGCACTGCTCGAGCCTCTAGTCAGATCTAACAGCTAATCTAGCTTCTCTGGATATTGTAGATTCATCCCATGGTTTGACGTCGGGCCGAAGGTTCAATAAGTCGCGTAACAGCATCAACCTTCCACAGCAGCAATACCCTCACTATCGCCTTTTAATGATGCCTCATTGAATTCTATATCATCTTTGGGAAGATCTAAGTGGATGCTTGAGATTGGGGCCGCTGCAACTTCAACTTCGGTGTCTGTCGCGAATGCGAGAACATGTCCTCCTCGCTTCTTATCCTCGCTGATAAAATGCAAATGGTCACCTGCTACGCTGATTCCCTGCATATATGCCGGTGACCTGAACCCAATAATGGTGCCGCGCATCGACTCGGTGAAAGTGTGAGACGTCTGATGCTTCCCAACCTCTGCAAGCCCTTCGTGAGGCACCCGCTGCCCGCCGACAGTGCGGACGGTGACTGCCTTAAACGTTCCACTTATCCGCATGGCCATGTAGTGATTATGTGCCTGCGGAAGAAGCATTGTCAAGAGGTTGAAGAGGTCATCCTTGCCAGCAAGAACGGCATTGATTGTCGTGGTAGGCTCGAATTTCGTAATCATTGCAAAAGGTGATACCGTGCCTGCAACGGAAGCCTCGATTGCAGTGACAGATCCATCTGATTTCATTTGATAGGCTTGACCATCAAGAACGATCAGCTCACCGACAAGATGCCGGAATGTCCCTAGCCCGTGATTGCCTCGGGCCAGGATCTCGGAGATGGAAGGGCCCTGGGAGGCAACTCCGTCCATCAACGCGGAGACAATGGAGTACTGATAAAGTTCATTGGAACCCATCGTGAAAATTGGAATGACGGTGGATAACAATTGTGGCGATGATCAATGATGCTCTGTAATGTGTCCCACAGTATGGCAAACGTCATCTGTGGATGAGTTAAGGTCTCATGAAAGTTCCACAGCGCCCACTAAATTTCAGGGCTGACTAAGTCTTCAGCCAGCATTCTTCATCACCTTAATGTCTCAGCTTCATACAACCACAACGACAGATTTCCAAGGACCTCTATCAATCCCGTGCAGACTCATATGAAACTGCCATCCGTGGCATCAGCTTTGATTAGGCAGTCAAAGCTATGTCTACCGAAACGGTTCAGATCGTGATTGACTCGCTGCTTGCGGCAGGTGTCAAGTATGTCTTCGGTGTTCCCGGAGCCAAAATCGACTCGGTCTTCAATGCCCTGATCGACCACCCGGAAATCAAACTTGTCGTCACTCGGCACGAGCAGAATGCAGCCTTCATTGCGGCAAGTATCGGGAAGATTACCGGACGACCGGGCGTGTGCATCGCAACATCGGGGCCTGGTACTAGCAACCTCGTGACCGGCCTCATCACTGCAACCGATGAAGGTGCCCCTATGGTGGCAATTGTTGGTAGCGTCAAGAGAGCACAAGCAGCGAAACGGACGCACCAGAGCTTGCAGGCTATTGCGCTGCTCCGGCCTGTCACCAAAAAGACAGTGGCAGCCATTGTTGAAGATCAAGTCGCTGAGATCATGCTCGATGCTTTTAGGATAGCGACAGCTCATCCGCAGGGCGCCACAGCAATCAGTCTGCCGATAGATGTCATGACTGCTGGCATGAAATCATCAATTCCTGCTTTTCCAGCCTCAGCATTCACGCCGCCCGACTATGGGCCGTCTCCAGAAGCTTCGCTTCAGAGTGCGGCAAGTCTGATTGAGGCTGCGAAGTTTCCGGTCCTGTTCCTCGGCATGCGAGCGGCAGACCAAGGAGTAGTCGATTCTGTGCACAACTTTCTGAGAAACCACCCCATCCCTGTCGTTGAAACTTTTCAGGCTGCTGGAGCCATCTCAAAAGAGCTTGTGCAATTATTTTATGGACGTATCGGTCTCTTCCGCAACCAGCCTGGAGACAAGCTATTGGCAAAGGCAGACCTGGTCGTCACTATAGGCTACGATGAAGCAGAATATGACGCGAATCTCTGGAACAAAGAGAATCGTTTCAAGATTATCCATATAGACCACAATCCTGCTGCGATTGGGTATTTCTACGCACCGAAGCTAGAACTTATCGGGTCAATGGCCGCCAACCTCAACTTTCTGACCAATCGTCTGCGGAGAGTAGCCAAACCCCAAGACACCGATCTTGGAAAGTCTTTATTCTTAGAATTTCACTCCTGGGAGTCTCAATATGATCTTGTTGCTAAGCAGGGCGACGCTCCAGTACACCCACTGTACTTCATCCGACTCTTGCAGAAGATGATCGAAGAGCGCACTACTGTTATTTCTGATGTTGGCAGCCACTACATTTGGCTCTCACGATACTTCTACTCTTATTTTCCGAAGACTTTTCTTGTCTCCAATGCGCAACAAACTCTTGGTGTTGCATTGCCATGGGCAATTGGTGCATCATTGACACAAGAGCCGTCATGTTCCAAGAAAGTTGTTAGTGTAAGTGGGGACGGCGGCTTCCTCTTCAGTGGTCAGGAGCTCGTTACTGCAGTACAACAGGGATGTGATATCACCCACTTTATTTGGAACGATGGAAAATACAACATGGTTGAATTTCAAGAGATAGAGAAGTACGGTAGAAGTGCAGGCATCGACCTCGGAGGGGTGGACTTTGTCAAATATGCAGAGGCATTTGGGGCCAAGGGGCTCCGCGTAAGTCGCTCCGCGGATATGGAGAGCGTAATGCGTGAGGCTCTAGAATATAAGGGGGTTTGCGTTGTGGACATTACCATAGATTACTCCCAAAACCACGACTTGATGACCAACGTAGTGGCGGAGAGCATTGCTTAAAGGGCATTTGTGTCTGCCAGCAATTGCGTGGGTCTCCTGAGCGAACAATACATACTCATCTCTCATCTCCCCCTTTCCCTGCTTTTCTTCTCCCACTTTTCTCCTTTTCTATCGTTAAGCTATTCGGAGTACGCTCTTTTCACGTACAAAAATAAGATATTCTACTCCTTAGCGTATTTATTCGATGGGCTGTGGACTGGCTCCGATGCAAGACACGATTCAATCCCAGTTTTGGTCAGCTATCTGAAAGAAAGCGTCCGGCAACCAGTTTCATGAGAAGAGGAGAAGAGTAGAATCACCGTTCATTTACTCAGTTGCATCACATCTCTCTATATCAGGCCTCTTCTCGTAAATATTCGTCCAGAACATCGCTTAGCTTTGACCTATCTCTTCTTATATCAGGCCTCATTCGCAACTTACTGGAACGGCGAGAGCGCTCGATATTAAGCTTACAGTAGGCGTTTACACCCCGCCGGTAGGTAGAAGTGCTTGATTCGTAAGTAATGTATACCATGTTGTATCAGCAATTTTTAATGAATAAGAACAGTGGTGAAAAGGGGTTGGTGGTTGGGCACGTGATATGATGCAGTGCCAGTTGCGATAATACCTCTCGGCCATCATCATCATCGAGGCGACGACCACAAGCCGTGACAAAACCACAACACACCACACAAAGAGGTTTGTTCAAAAAATGAATATCATCTCCCCCTCCGTAGTTCCGGGTCGTCTCCAAGCTCATAGATGATTCCGGTCAGGCTTCCTAGGCACAGACGCGCTTTCCAGGATGGAAAATCTCAGTGGCGCCAGTATCGTCTCAGCCAGCGACAACAACAGGCAGGAAAACTCCGAAGCTGCTCCAGCTTCCGGTTCTGTCTCATCTTCCAGCTACGGGACCAGGTCCACAGCACCTCGCATTGATAGCACCAACAACTGCGCAGCTCAGCTTCAGCCTCTTTGCAGCTATGATTGCAGCAACAGCAGCCTTTCGGTCTGCTCCTACGGTACGTCCATTTTTGCTAATCACCTGTTTTCCTCGTTGCATGCGCGCCGCGCGGTCACCTTCCAAGCGCGTTCCAGTACGATATTTCTCCGTCGCGTCACCATGCGCTTAGGTGGTATATCACTGTTTGGCCTGCTCTCCTCCTTCCCATTGATCTCTCTCTGTCTCGAACGCTCGCGTATCACTCGTGAATTCAGATCCTCTCTGGAACGTTACCTCCAAAAACTGCGAGATTGACCATGGTTCTCGCTCTGGCTGGCGAAGCAGTCGACTGCGTGCCGTCCGTCTGGCACCAGGCATAATTTCCGCATTTTCACCTTGGTCTCATCGCGCCTTGCCCTCGCCGACTAAACCCAATCCCCGAAACATGTTCCCATTGCAACAAATACACGTACAGCAGACGGACAAACAGAAAAAATCGAGAATGTAACTGACCGACTCCTTCTCACAGTACCGCACATTGCTGAAGCCGTGGCCTCTCCACCGTCTTACGACCAAGCTATCGCCATGGATGCTACTCAGGATAACAGCAAGAAGGGCGCCGATCCCAAGTCCGCCCCCGGCACCGTCACCGCCGCTCCTCAGCGTACCCCCATTCCGGCCGTCCAGCCCGCCAACACCAACATGACTACCGTTGCAAACATCACCACCACCGAGCGAGCTCCCCTCAATGCCTACGACGGCGTAGGCATCACGTGCTGCGGTGTCGAAGTCTGCGCTTCTTCCTCACCTTCCACAGATTGGGGTTGGTTCGTCTTCGTCGTCGTTTTCTTCGCCCTGGTCTTCGCCTTTGTCTGCGCGATCCTCTGGATTGTCAATGGTCGTGGCGACTCGGGCGCTGGCGTTGGTGCTCCTGGTTCTGTCTAGATTTGAGCAGATAGGGAAAGGTGCGTACGGCATGGTAGGATTTGGACAGAATGAATCAGTGCTGACTTTGTCGTGTCTCTCAGATGTATCAATGCTTTCGGCAGCCATGCCTACTCTCTGGACAAGTTGGTAATTACGTATGATAGCACGTGATCCACCAATATAGATACACTAGTCTCCTTTTTCACCTAGCACGTACGAAGTCCAGAACTCCGTAAATGGGACTCTGTGATCCTGCATGCAAAGCTTTAATGACGTGTACGATCTCATGATCTCTTGACTGTGCTTGACTTCCGTCCCCTCGAACAGTATATGTGTGCGCTCCTGGCCTACCCTTCCAACTCGTTGGCTTTTCCCTTTATTTTTCTGTCCAAACCGTCTCGTACGATCGATTCCGTTGCACGATCAAATTAGTTGTTTATCAATCTTCGAAGTATTTAGACAGGTAGGCTCCAATAGTGTAGACTTTCCTCGATCTCCTCAGGCCACCCAGCCATCGAGTTAGTAAATACGTCATTCACCAAAAAATCTTGACTCAACATCACCCAACAACCAAGTATGACCATCCATGTTCTTACAGACTACCAGCGCTCCAATATGTCAGCCAGTGTACCATTGCCACTGTGTAACACATACAGGATGGCATCAATTCTGCAGGCCTCAGGTTCTTCGAATCACCACACACCCAATTCGAGAAGACATAATACAAGAGGCTTCATAGGCAGCGGATGAGCTGCCCCCTCGTCTTCTACTATAGCAGCTTCACTCGTTGCCATGCTGTTCTCTCCCTCGCTCTCGCAAACGCATCCGATGATGCAGTCGATGTTCCCCCGTGTTCCTGCTGCTCCATCACCACCAGCCACCATCGCTTGCCCAGCTGGGCCCCCGCCGTTGTCTCGGGGCCTTCTCTGTATGCAATCCTGTTCAAATCCATATCGTCGTCGCTCGGTGGTGATGTGTTGCAAACAGACGCAAACCTGACCAATTGAGGAAGGCTGGCTAGGATAACCCAATCCCCGTTGGCAGGGCTGCCGAGGGTGAGTGACGATCTCCCCTGACCAGTCAGCGCCCAGTTTCATCAAAGCCGCGCCGTCATGCCATGTCCGTTGGCCAATGCAACGTGCAGCGGCGTTGCGACGGCTGCATCGTCCGGATAGCGGATGATGATGAGCCGTATGTGGAGATTACGACAGATACAGACGTGGCGAGCGGTGGCATCCACATGGGCGCCATGCTATCCTTGAGAGCAAGTGCTCGGACCGAATCGTTGTTTCCCCTGCATGCTGCCAGGTGCAGAGCTGTACACCATCCAAGGTGTGGCGAAGTTGGATCGGGGAAAATGTCTTCTATTTCTTGGGCCAAGTCTGGCGCCACCACCGTACGTAGGCCAAAACCCACTAACACTGTTGCGGCGGGTCGGTAATGAAAAGGCAGAGGCGAACAGTGCCGGTTCCTTGTTGGCAAGGCATGCTGCCGGTTCGAGCCGGGATATTCTTGAGGCGGCTCCGGTCTGGGCTTGCCAAAAGAGCGCGAGCGTGACAGCACGATCAGGTTCAGTAGCCCACACGACGACAGGCAAAGAAGTATGCGGAGAAATGAAACATATGGGATACAGGGGAGAGGTATGCGACAGAGGGTTTCGCCGTAGGCAAAGTCGATGAGGATACGGTGAGGTTTCTTGCAAACCCTGGCTGTTTCGACAACGTCGACAAAGCCGCCCGCTGCAAGCTCGCTGCCAATTGACAGAACCACCTCGTCAAGATTGAAACTGGGGTCCAATTTCATTCAATCTGACCTCAATATCCGAGACAATGCAATGCAGCCTTACATGCGAACGCAATCCAAAGGGTGGGGTGTTGTGTTCGGTGAGCCTCATCGTCAATGGGCTGTGGACTGTGAACTCCGAGTGAATTGGCAGATACAGTTTAGGGCAGCCTAAAGATCAGATTTGAGGTTAATTTAGCCTTTGGTACGGACGCCGGAACGCGAGTGAGTGTCAAAACACTATTTTTCGTATGCAAATCCATATTCCACCTTAGGCCCAGTTCTTTACAGTAAGGTATCTCATTAATTAGCCTATCTCTATAGCAAATTGACAGTCGTTGATTTACTAATACTAATATTATCATCTTTATTATTAAATATAACTAGTATTATTATTAGTTATATTCCTTTCAATGTTTCTACATGCCTATATGACCTATGATAAAAAGACAAACCAGGCAAACAAGATCTCGGGTACAAATAACCACGTTATCCTCCTGGGACTTCCACTACTGGTCGCCTTAGTCAAAACTTCTGACGTCTCACTAGCTGCTATCTGTGTCGGATTTTCAACAAAGACTCCACTGTCCGCTATCAACACCGTACCATTCCCCATTGATTCCGTAGGCTGAGCGGTTGCATTGACCTCTGTCGTGAAAGGCGTAGTTGATTGCAGGCCGTCCACGCGACCCAACAAAACCTCGAGACTTCTGAAGGCGACAGCGGGCGCATCCATCGCCAGAAAATGCCCAGCAGGGCCAACTGCGAAGTATGTGAGACCTCGCTCTGTGTGTGTTGTTCCGATGACTCCGGCGCCGGCAACAGATGTGAAGTCCGTATTCTCGTGATATGGCACAAAAAGCGGCGCACTAGGGCGCGCTTGGAAGCCAAGCTTGCCACCCCAGGTCATGTTTTGAATACTCAAAAGTGTTCCGTCGGAGATTAGAACAAAATCTTGGCTTCCATGCCCAAGTATGACGTTTTGAGTCTTCTCAATGACATTCGGAATGACAGGCTGGCTACCTGGACCGCTCAGCAGAGAGTTGTCGACACCATCCACGAAGACAGGGTCATTGCTGCAAAACACCCATTCTTTATCAGGGGCGTTGATGGCAGCTTTAACATCCGGGCGATTGAAATAGACTGGCCCAGAACCTTCCGGCACGAACATTGTACCGTCAGTGAAGCCCAACGGATCATACTTGATTGGACAAAGCTGTGTAATTGTATACGGACTAAAGCATGAATTAACCTCGTTCGCTGCCAGGAATATGCTTGTGAAGGCATCGCAGTCGTCTATTGCGCTGCCATTTGCATGCTGTCCCGGAAGCACCGAGGGCTGCACGCCCATCGGAGGAAAGACCAGATATTTGCTCAGATAATCCGTATAGCCACAACGGTCGGCTGTCTCACGCACAGAGCCTGCAAATGAGTCATTGAAGCCAAAAATGGACTGCCAGTTGTTGACAAAGGATGCCACCGGGATCTCTTCTGCAAGTGCATCAGTGGAGTACAGCCCATCGAATATTTGCATGCCGGAAACGTTGAAGTAAGTTTGGTCGTCGGCATCGAGCATCGCACTGGCGATATATGGACAGTACATTCCACTATAAGATGATCCAGTGATATACACTTTGTAGCCCTGCATCGAGAACAAGTCAATGAAGTTTTTCCAGAACCCCATGAACTGTTTTGCCACGTCAAACTCATCCTTGGCTGTAACATTGCCTTGGGAAAAGCCGGCCCCGATCGGTTGATCAACCCAGACCACATTGGAGAGCGTATGCCAACTCCACTTGTTTTCTACTGGGGCGAACATTCCGGGCTGCCAGATGAACGGCCCGTTCTCGGAAAGAAGCTCGCCAGTCGAAGAGCATCCGGGCTACGATTCTTAGCAGATGCTTGGCTATACGGACGAGTCCAAGAGACATACCCCGCCGGTCAGCCATAGCGTGATCTCCTTGTCTGCGGCATCATTTGTCGAGGGAAAGAACCAGAAGTAGAGCTGATTTGTATCGTTTGCGTCTCCTATCGGCAGTGACCCGGCATATGATTCTCCAACATCAAAATTGACTAGTGGGATCCCGGTTCCGTTTACGGCAAAGCCTTGAGCACCATTAGCAAGACTCTGGGAGATGTTGGTAAAACATACTTCTCGTCTTGTCGTCGAGAAATTTTGGAGCGGATTGCCTTTTTAACAGCGGGGCACTTGTATCTGCTACTGAGCGCCCTTTCAATTGCTTGTTAGCAAGGCCAGAGTGAAGGCGATGCAGGTTCAGCGTCGCCAGGACGGCGGGCGCCAATGAAAGCAGTATGTGCCAGCGCATTTTAGGACAATACCAAGTCTTGAAGGATAAGAGGGCAGAAGGGCTACGTGACTTTGATGACATCGTGGATATATGTTGCTTCTTACTATTAATTGTTACACTCAGGACGTAAGTTACACGGGGTAGTCTGGGTTTCACATTCTGCAACTCTTATTCTGAAATTATATGTCATGAGAAAAGTGCCGTACTGGGTTTCCCCAAGACGATCATTTGGCTTCGGGTCTATCGGGGCTACAAGGTGTAGGTCAATGCTCAAGAAATAAGCATTAAGGTGTGGGTTGCCGTGATGGAATCAATCTTGGCGACAGGTGAAATCGTGGGCATTCGTGTGGCTTTTCCAAAGGAGGTCGAGTCAAATTTCTCCTTTCTGGACATCAAACTCATTGGAGTTTCGGCTGATGTACTAGGGGGAATGTCGATCCCTCATCGACAAGATGAGACATGATAAGCTGACGCTCCTGATTACAGATTGGGCGACCTTTTACATTGGCTCAGTGTTTCATAAAGCCTTTTACGGATCATAATCAGTTTTCATGGTTTCTTAAGTGACCTTGTTTTTAACGGGATATAGGACCATGAAAGAGAACTATGACTCCACAAAGCGACTGTTAACGGTTCAGTGTAAACCAGAAGCGCCGTCGTGTTGAACACAACTTCTGCCAGAAGAATGTCGCGATGAGACGCGACATTTACCCCCCAGGATGTGGCCTACGAGCGTCGGTCCGAGCGTAGTCCGATGTAGCATATTGCAATATCTTACCGTTATAATTGATCGTACGGCTAGAAGCCATTAACGCTTGCTTTCATATACACTTTGCACACTAAGCACTCATGTCAATTGATATGGACTGCAAGAGAGGGCCTCTATACGGAGTGCAAACTACCGACGGCCGTGCCGTTCCTCCAGAGATCAATTGTTCTATCAACTTGCAGATGGCCATTGTAACAACGTCTTCTCGGGCAATTTTCACAGAACATACAGTTTTCCTCCTAATAAGAATAGCACAACTTACCCCCATTTCTAAATACGAGATTTTTTATAGCATCAAGTTTGGACCGCTGCGAAGCTTACCTTTCTGTACGACATCGTGCTCTTCGAATAGGATTGGGGATCGTGCCAACAGCCAATTGCCACACGTAGCATAACTTTCATGGTTACACAACAAAGTAAGCCAATGTCGTTCGCAGCGATTCGTCAAGGAGCCGACGTGTCGGCCATCGGGCCGCCTGACGCTATACGCTTACTTCGAATGGCTCGGATCAAGGGCACATATCATTTCAATGCAGCACAGGCGTGGTAAGCCAATCGTGGAGCAATATGCATATAGAGATGCGGCTCGGCAATTCCTTCATCAAGTATCACTTTCCATGTGAAGCTTACCAAACTACAAGCAGACAAATTCACTTGTATTGCATGAGAAATCGAGATCCGCTTGGCATTTCTCCAACATCTGTGCGAGGTTCCGGACAGCTGGGACGGTCTTTACAGAGGAGGAGACAGCTCACAAGAACCTCTTTGTGATATCCATCTGCCGTGAACCGAGTTGAGCTAGAGGCCAAACCCCGCAAGGGTCCCAGCCTGGGGTATTCCCCGCATCGCCATGGCACTTCGCCTGGGATGCATGCCCGCTTCAGCCGGTTGGCTATTGTCAGGATCTATTGATCCAAAAAGACTGGTCTATCCAGTGGTGTGGCGGAATTGTTGGGGAGGCCCCACAGCGGCTCATGTCGACCAAGGTTTGACGGGCTTGGTTTAAGCAAGCGAAGACTCTTGTATGGCTGTCTCGGCATCATCTTCTATATCCCGGTCGGGGCGAGACTGTGGCATGAATGATCTGGAATTGTGATAAGCGCCTGTGTCCTCAACCTCTCCACGCTGTCACATCTTCACTTCCATCACCACGTTCAAGAGATCAACAACACTTTTCGTCACGATGCATCCCGAACATACAGCCCACGATACGCACTTAGTGCACAGGTCAGCTAGATAATTCCGATCTGACGCACAAATGTGACTGACTTTCCTTTTAGTCATGCTAAAGAACTAGATATCCCAGGAACTGTGAACTTGAAACCCGCAGGTACGTTGTCTACGCACAGGAGCTGTTCGCAGGGATGCATGTAGACTGACTGCTGTAGAGGGTGACGAGACTGGATATGGCCAAGCACTGTTTCCTGTGCCAGCAGAGGACCCTAACGACCCTCTTCAGGTTTGCTACTATGTCCATTGTACCAATGAGAGGAAATTCTAATTGTTCTCAACAGTGGGCAAACTCAAAAAAACTGGCCATTCTCGTTCTGTGCTCGTTATACTCCTTTTTCGGAAACTCGGCTCTCTTGGGGCCATCCGTTTATATCTCGATATTTTCGAAGGAGTTCAACATCACCCCAAATAAGGCGGCTGGACTCATAAACTATGCTAATTTAGCATTTGGCTTTGGTAATATTGTTTAAATCCAAGAATTTGAGGATTGTGCTAATTGAGATAGGTTCACTCCTTCTCGTTCCAACCTATCATAAGTTCGGTAGACGACCCGTTATGTTAGCCTCCCTTGTATTTGTAAGTACAAATGAAACATGATCAATCTCCCTTGGTTAGTAACAAGGTTTAGTACTGTGCCGGTCTCATCGGTGCATCGCAAGCTACATCTTTTTCCGGTTTGATGGCAGCACGTATTGTCCACGGTTTCGGTTCCGGCGTCTGCGAAGCTTTGCCAGTTCAGCTGGTCAACGACATTTTCTTCCTGCATGAACGCGGCAAACGACTCGGGATATACACCGTCTGTTTATGCTTTGGCGCAACTGGTCCTCTATATGCTGGATATATGCTTAATGGGGGATACTCTTGGCGCTTGTTCTTCTATGTCGAGTTCGCCTTTGCCGTTGCACTTCTCATCTTCGCGTTTTTCGTTGTTGAAGAGACAACATATCATCGCAAGGTACTGCAAGAGATTTCTGATAGCCCTGTAGACGAAGACAAGCCGAATGTCCACGCTGCTGAGACTGCCGCATCCAGCACAGACATTCCAACGCGCAAAACGTTCCTAGAGCAACTCAAATTCTGGGGCATCTGGGAAAAGGACTCGGACTTCTTCCTAATGATGGCGCGCTCCTTTACCTATTTCCTCGTTCCACACGTTCTCTGGGTTGTCACCACATACGGTGAGTTACGATGCATTCTGTGATTCTTGCTGAATGATATTAACATTGTTATTCAGGCATTTATATTGGTCTTGGTGCTCTGGCTTTCAACTTCACGTTCCCCCTGAAGATTACCGCACCACCGTACAACTGGTCGGAACTCAATTCCGGCCTGATCACCCTCGCCACGCTAATAGGTTATGGTCTGGCGCTTCCATTCATGACGTCTTCCGATCGTCTTGCCGCCCGCCTTACAAAGCGCAATAACGGCATCCGCGAAGCTGAGATGCGCCTTGGCGTCATGCTACCTGCCATGCTGATCGCACCTGCTGGCTTGGTTGTCTTCGGATTCGCAGCTGAGCGCAATTTACATTGGATCAGTTATTTTGCAGCGGTGGCAATGACTCAATTTGCCAGCTATTTTTACTTCACGTTCACACTTGCCTACGCAATTGACAGCTATCAGTCCAATATCAGCGAAATGCTGATCGCTATGAATCTAGGCAAACAGGCGATTAGCTTTGGAATGGGCATCAACTTGCTTGAATGGATTGTGGAGCACGGATATGCTGTCATGATTGCTGGTGTGTTTGGAAGCATGGTATTGGCCAACAACCTGTTCTTGCCCGTTTTCATGATCTTCGGAAAGAGAATTAGGGCTTTCATGTCGAGGACATGGCTGGCTAGGGTTCATAAGAGTAGCATTCGTGAGATTGCCACTCACTAACGGATTTCATCGAGATGTCATGGTGGACAAAGCCAAGCAACAGCCCATCATTCTGAACACATCTGTGTTAATCCTTAAATTTTGCTAGCAACTAGAATGAAGTAAAGTCTTCCCGCCAACTCCAAACTCCGTGCTCGCTACAGCTAGAAGAAGAGGAAATTAACAAAACAAAAGCCCCTTGACGTAAGCACATATTCCATATCATGTGTCGAGATACAGTTTGCGCATCACGTCATATCCTCAGCTACCTCCCGAATCTTCGGGCCCGTTGTAATGTCCATAATATACATGCAACCAGCAATATCAGCAACGCCCTCAAGCAGTACTTCACTCGCAACTCTGTTCTCTGCACTATTGTGGTCTTATGTTGGTAGGCTGACACGGCTCGGCCCAGAGTATCGCCGTGAGGCTCGGAGAAAGGCCGCTGGGCATGCGGATTCGGCGTGAATCCTAGCACTGGGGCTTGGGAAAATGGAGAGGACGGGGTAAACGGTGTCACGACTCGGACTTCAAGACCTTTGGGAACTAAAGACTGCACTGGAGGGGATTCGAGATCTTCAGTGTGCTTGTTTGCGTCGGCCGCCATGACCCCTAGTCGTAGTTGCAAGAAGTCCATGTTATCTCTATCATCGGATTCATCCACGCGGTGTCATTGACTTGGCTTCCCACGAGTATGTCTGCCAGATGGTGAAAATTACAACAGGGAATGACCAAAGAGATATCACTACAATGCAGATAGGGATTGGAGAAGATTCGGGTTGTGTTTTGAAGGCTGTCTTTATTGTTATTCCTGATATGCACCGTTGCCAGTCGTATAATCCTTCGCGTCCTCCTGGGGCTGTGCCACTTGTTACGCCTCCGTTGGCTCCGTAGGTTCCAGCTGACATCACTTCGTTCCTTCAAAATGATTTGCGAGGAGTCGCTTTGGAGCTGCCCAGCCGAGCCAGCGTACTAGCGTAAGCTATAATTAATAAAGTTCTGACATGTGTCCCAGCACTTCGCTTGTATCCGTCCTTATCTTGACCCACGCAGAGCCATCCGTTTTCCCAGTCAATCAGGGCAATCGGGCAATGCGTTTCGATATTGTTTTCGTGTACTGTGCGTAGAGCTTCGAGCGCTGCTTGAATTCCTAATATGCCGTCGTATCTCCCACCTCAAATCAGGTCAGCATAGAAGCCCGTACCTTGAGTAGAAGCTGGACAGCGAGGAAAAAGTTTCGAGGAAAGAGTGGGCACATACCGTCCGGCTGGGTGTCCAGATGACTACCCATTCCTATCGGCAACTTGTTTTTGGCAGTGCCGGGGCGTATTGCAAATATGTTTCCCATCTGATCAACTTTGAACTCACATCCCAAACCCTTCGCACTCCTTGACAAGCCAGTCTCTCACTGACTTATCGTCTTGGCTAAGTGTCAGACGACACATGCCTGTCGACGGGGCAGCCGGCCCCCCACCACTCGGTGCATGTTGCTTGCAGAGTGCTGTTCAGACGGTCTGCGTTGATTCCGGGCTTGGATATCATGGCTGAAGAAACTCGAGTTCAGCGATGCTAGAAGATTTCTTGTGACACACTCAAACGCAGTCTTGTATGTTGGTTTTGAAAGTCGCGGAAGAATGCCGTCAAGCTTTGACGTAGCTATCAGTACCAAGTCCACATTAAAATTTATCGGTAGAGGATTTGCTAAAGTTTAGTCCATAAAGATGCTGCTAATTCAAGAATAATACATAGAAATGGACATTTCCGAGCGAACCTCTCAAAGAAATTATGCCATTGACTCAAATATTGCAACGAACGCAGGAGCCGCTTCGGCTCAGTCTAGAGGGAGGGATATTGGCTGACTCCATAATCGGATATGCAAGCCAAACGGATCTATTACCACGAGTATTATGATCAGGATACTTTGGAGAAAACTTTGTAGCCGCAGATGCGATCTCTTTGTTTAGCAAATAGCCACTGTTAGGCTATATGTCTAACTTTGGCCCTTTCCTATTTGAGTAATTTACCAGCTTAACCACAACTAGATGGATCGCTCTGCGCGGAACGAGTCGCCAACGCGCAAAGATGAACCAGGGGATTTATCAGGTTAGCAATGTAACATCGTATACTATACTATAGTGTCCCCTTATCATCTCATTGGTGTGCGGGCTTTTTCCTTCGGGGTTTCCCTTCGGAATTCTCCATGCACTGCTGATTCCTGTAGAAACACGCTGTTTGATTTGATATCAGGATGTAGCGAGAGCGGCAATAACCACTCCTATGACAAGAATCTGCTGATCTCAAGCCAGAGTCTTCAGACCAGGAACTCCGGCTCCCTTCTTATTGGCTATTTGATCTGCTTTCAACATGTACACATCCTAGACTCCATGATAGAACAGCTTAGGATGTCTTCTATGATAGCAGGAAGTTTGATAACAGTCATTACCATTAGCCATCTTCTGATAAGGATATTACCATGTATTTCAAGAGCAACTTTATATTCAGCTCCTTTCGAGCAGTCGGAGTGCCAATAGTAACAGCTGATCTTGTAACGGCGAGACTCCTGAGATCTCTCAATTTCTTTCTCAGAAGGTACTCTCCAAAGTGGGCATCATTCCGCTCTGGAAAAGAAGGTTGTTGAACCGAGAAATCATGGCTGAAATTGCGACATCTGTTACACGAGAAGAGGAAGAAGACTCGAAAGTTCCAGTCGTGACGGAAAAGGATGACATCGGTCTACAATACATCGCCCAGCATGGTATCGAATCATATACACCAGAGGAAGACCGGAGGGTGAGGTGGAGACTGGATCTCCATCTCATGCCGACGGTAAGTTCTCTATTACTCTAATAAAGAAATTCGAGCGTCCAATTGACATAATAGACAGATGATAACTTACGATTTGCAATACCTCGGCAAGGTGGCCGTATCTTATGCAGCTGTGTACGACATGCGGGCGGATCTTAATCTAGTTGGACAGGATTATAGCTGGGCAAATAGCATGTTCTAATTTGGCTACCTTGCCGGCCAACTCCCAGCTAACTACTTGCTCCAACGATTCCCAACTGGAAGTTCGCTGCAACTAACTTACTGATCTGGGGCACGCTGGTGATGCTCTGTGCTGAAAGTCATATTTTCGGTGGTATAGCTGCACTGTAAGCTTTAGGCATGACTCTGCTACTAAAGACAAACTAACTTTCCAGGCGATTTCTCATGGGCTTGTTTGAGAGTGGCATCACTCCGGCTTGGACCCATATCACGGCTATGTTCTATAGTAGACAAGAGCAAGGCGCGCGTTGCACTGTCTGGTTCTTGATGAATGGATTCGCCGCCATAGGTGGCGGGCTACTTAGCTATGGAATAGGGCATACACACACAGCAGTCGAGCAGTGGCAACTGGTAGGTAGTTCTTTTCTTGTCAATAGAACCGCGAGTCATCCACAAACGACGTATAGAGGCCCCTCTGAGAAGCCGAGCCCCCCAAAACCTTCACAACGACTGATACCGAATGGCTGATTCATACTATTTCAGGTCTTTTTTATCTGCGGAGCTATTACGATTTTCTGGGCTTTCATTGTCTTCTTCTTTTTCCCCGACTCACCCGCCAATGCGAGATTTCTTAGCGAGCACGAACGATCTGTTGCTATTCTTCGATTGCGAGATAACAGAACCGGTGTGAAGAACACGATATTTAAGCCCTCTCAAGCTCTTGAAGCATTCAGAGACCCACAGGTTTGGGCTTTTGCTCTGGCTACAGGGATTTCATCAATCGGAAACGTGGGAGGCAGCTTTTTGCCTATTATCATCAAGGACATGGTATGCGGTCGTCACTGTTAAATAATTTATTGCGAGGGGACTGATCAAAGGATGATAGGGTTTCACTGGCTTGCAAACCACTCTGCTTACCATTCCGGCTGGTGGCGTTGAGGTCATCGCCATGGTTGTAGCTGGTCTTGCAAGCTCATTCATTGGCAAAGGACGAACGTTTCTTATGTTCTTCGTCAGCCTACCAACTCTTCTCGGTTGTATATTCCTCGATGCGATACCACGATCCGAGACATGGGTCCGTATAGTAGGCTCGTGGCTGTTACTGACGGCACCAGCTGCGACTGCCATCATGCTAAGTTTGATTGGAAGCAATGTCGCTGGATTTACCAAGAAGGTTACGACCACCGCGCTGACCTTCATTCTTTACTGCGTTGGAAATATCGTGTCTCCCCAACTGTTCATATCTTCCGAGGCTCCTGGATACGGGACAGCAATGCGCGGGATATTGGCATCCACCTCCGTCGTCTTACTTATTGAGCTCTTACTTGGCTGCTATTACCTTTGGGAGGATAGAAGGCGAGACCGGATTCTAGCCGAGACACCACAAGAAGTTGTAGATGCTATAACGTTTGAGAATGAAGAGTATGCGGATAGGACCGACATGGAAGATTTCCTCAAGTTTAGATACAGTTGGTGAGATTAAGAGGGCAAGGCAAACAAGGATTCATCGGAGGTCTAGAAGGCAGGCAACTGCATGAGAAACTTAGGGCATCATCGATCATTCCCTTTCCATATACCTTGCTGTAAAATGGGCCAAGACACCTTTCATGACTGTCCTGACCTAAATCTCAGGAAGGGATAGTAATCAGTGCATCCTAATAGGATTGCAACAAGAACTTTCGAAATCAGACTTCGCGTAGAGTCGGGTTCATGCCCGTCCTTGTGATATGCTCTCCATTCTGCCCGTATAAACCTGTGTTTATCGAGGCCAGCTTCAACGCGACCCAGCAACCATTTGACCGATAGCAGCGACCAGTATCCTAGTAGTTATCAAGCATGCAATATCTACGTCGGGTCGGATAAAGGGTCAGTTTAGTGACTTGTGGTCATCTAACGGGAGACTCGGCCGTGAACGTTCCTCTTCCGGCTGCGGCGGCCCCTGGCGTCGGTTCAACCGTGCTGGAAACAGGTACCTCACATTTATGGTCGCGAAGTAAACGTGGCGACCTGGCGAGATATGCAGGTACTGATTGGGCAATATCAAAAGTTGATTAAGGCATTAATAAAGTCGGTCGGCAGATAAAGTAGGGCGGCCTGGTATCGCCACGATCGTCATAACGGGCTGTATTAAGACCATCGTTATGGTTGTTATGGGGATCGTATCGCACACGAAGAGTACCTCCACAATTTTGGTGAGTTTTTGAATCATTATGTTGACGGAATGGCTTTATGACCATTTAGTCTCAGATGTTACTACATGGAATCTCGAATACAAGCGTGTAGTCACGCAGTAAGTGATCGAATAGAATAGAGCTACAAGTGGGCATGAGTGATCAGTACTACTAGGCTCATTTGCTGTTGAGGACGCCCAAAAGTCATGGTCAATTGGAGGGCCAACCGTAAATAATTGCGAGGGCGAAAGTGACACCGGACCGTGCACTCCAATAGGCCCTGTCGACTTGTACTTCCAGCGAAATATCAACTGTAGCCGAGAGGCGAAACAACGCGACTTTGAATGTGTTATGGGAAAGAAAACATCAGTCAACTGAATAATAAAATGGCTGGGACCAATCTTTCCTAGCTCCGCTGTTGTCCTTAGAGGCGGTGGCCATTTTGGAGCATAAGAGATATTCTGTCTCTCAAACCGGATGCCGCTTTGCAAACAAGGTAGTCTTGTTTAACAGTGGATACTTGAACCAGTCTCGGGCCAGTGTACAGGAATTCCAGGCCGGTCGGAACCACATGTGTTGAAATGTAGGGCTTAAGATCGCCCATTGTTCCTGCCTGATGTAGGGCATGGCCGATAACAGAGTTGTGCAACCGAAGATCGTTCTATTTCCATGTGAAAGGTAGCATTGAAGAGCCACCTGAGTAACTCTTCATTCGTGGCAGAAGGTCGGGCGCATTGTGCAGTGAGACTGAGTACAGGCCTTACACTGGGGCAACACACAGATGCGTCGCGATCACGGGCACAAATCGTGCAGAAATGCAAGTGATGGATTAACAGCATCTGGCCCCTTTCACTGGCCGAGTGAACCTGCTAGGCATCTTTCCAGCGTAGCAGTGACCAAATTGTTTCATGTTTCAAGAGTTTGGCACCTACCGGACGTGGCTCGTCCTGAATCGCCCACACCAAATTCGCGCAAATACCCTTGGAAATGGTTGTTGCCCAAGGCTGGCAAAGCAGGACATCTGGTTCGTTGAGTCTACGAAGTGGTCCAGTCCTGGCGAGGGACCGAGGGGCGAGAGTGGCGGCTCCTCTCTGTCAGGGGTCTTTGGTGGCTTGAGAGCTGAAACAACGTTTCATGCCGGGCTCAGGCCACCCCCAAGAGACAGCTTGTGAAAATGGAAGGATTCTAGCGTGGGATGCAAGAGAGTCATCTAAATGACCTGGTGGATGCTTGATGGCCTCGGCTTGAGTCCAGCAAAGTGTATTTCAATCGTGCTCTGATCAGCGAGCTCTAGAGAGTCCTTTGAGGCCCACACCTTGAGCCATGCTTTCGTCAATATGCAAAGCTCATATGCCATAATTTAGCATTCTGGTGACCCTATCAATAAGGATCTGACATATTGCTTAAGGTTAACCCTAAGGACTTAGTGAAGGGCCCAGAAGGCGTTCGTGTGTAATTCAACCCTAAGGGGCGACCCTCAGAGCAAGCGCCGGTGCTATTCCCGTAGCGACCGGGAGTCGGCTCTCACCGCTATCTTAGACAAGATAAGAACCAAAGTGCTTTGCTGACGAGCAAAAGCGAAAAGGATGGAAGAAGGGCTCAGTACCCCTTCCTTCAGGACACGGCATGGCAACATCGCCAAAGACATGTCACCAGAATAGATTGCGATGGGAGTTTTTTTTTTTTTGTTTTTTTTGCAGACGCTAATGCGAGAGACTGCAGTCCTTTTGGGGAGGGAGGCCTTCTGAAAGCGCGTCTAACAATTCCAATTGGGTGGGAGGCAAGACGCTAAGGGGTGAGAGTTGTCTCGGTCGGCTACGTCTCCCTTTGTGAATGGCTTTGGGGAGACCACCAAGACAGCGCTTTCTGTCAGGAGAGCATCCGTAGACCAAAGACACGGCCTAGAGGGGACTGCCTAGAACCCAACGCGCTACAAGGTTAGATAACGGGTCAGCTGTCAATGCTGCCATCTCAGGTCAAAAGACTTCGGCCGGATCACAGGAGCGGGGCCAAGTTCTGCTCTGGCACCGACGAAGAAGCTAGTTGAAGACGATGTTTGGCCATGTCCCCGCCCCTGGCACTTGGCTACCTGTGTTGAAGGTGGAATTATGGCGAATTGATCGAGATACTGGGCGTGTTCTGGAGGATGAATGCACTGTGGCCTTCCTCTTGGACTCTCGGGACTCGAAGCAGGCGTGACGCCGCACATAAGCCGCTTGCAAAAATAGCCTGCGGAGGACAATGCAACGACAGGATGGCGAACCTTGACTCAACATCAGGCCGCGCCGGACACAAGGCCGGTGCATTGCCTCTTGAGATAGCCGCATCTAGAGCCGCTGCTTAGGCTCGTCAGCATAGACGCTGGGTGTCTGCAGTAGATAGCGGTTCGCATCACGTCTTCAATGGCCCGGTTTTGTTGTAATTGCCATTCAGCAGCGCCTGCAATGCGCTTGAGAAAGGCAAATTGCGTTGAATAACGACCCGCTCGACAGCAAGCGGACCATGCCCCGGTTTTGGCAATCAGTGGATATTGCTCTGGCCAAATCGATCTGGAATTGTACCCCATGGCCATACTATGCCACAGCTATGGCAGGCAGCTATGGGTATCCTCGTTTCACTTGGGCTTGCTAGATCAGACGGCGGCGAGATGGGAGGGAGAGGCGCAGTGGCTTGCGCAGGAACGCAGGTACAAGAGATAGAGAGCCTCCGCCATGCACGCCATGCGCGCGGTGGGGCCTGCTGGGCTCTATTCAGGGGGTTGCTATTAACGCCGCGATTCGTCCTCTGGTGTGTGCCGCGTCCAGGGTTGAAAAAGCACAGTGACATGGAACACCCCCCCCTTTCTCCCTTAATCAAAAGTCTCCGAATCTTCCTGTTTGCCCACGTCGGCCATCTATTTCATGCCTGTGCATATTGCCCTCTGTTATGCTTGGCCGTGGGTTTGAGAGCCCTGGGTCGCCCAGCTTCGCCAGAGCAACCCCTGCGGACTTCCAAGGTCCATCCTGCTCCTGCGAGTGGCGGTTCAGATGATATGCGCAGGGATGCTCGTGATAATCGGAGAATCGAAATACGCAAGCTTGATTTCTATGCCGCTATCTTGGCCAGTTGGTCTGCCTCGCCTGCTTCTCAACGGCGTTGCTGCAGGGCAATTCTTGAATGTTGTGCGCTGTATTGCCTGCATGTGCTGTGCAGGTGGCTTGTCTTCTCCTTCACGGCCCCCTTAGCCAAATGGTCTAGTCAGGAACAGGACACCAGATCGATGATCTCCTTAGGCTCCGCGCTGCACGTTCTGGACTGCCGAGGCCCCATGTCTCGGCTGTCAAGGAGCAGCACTGAGCTGCCATTGGATTGGGCTGCAAACATCGTCTTGTTTCATCCTCGCTCTCCACCACTCGTTTCCCAATCAGGAGCAGCCACAGATGCCCATGGTGGACCTGTTCTGGACGTCTTTCTTTTCTCGGAACCACAGTCGCTAGACTAGCCCTGGGCATGTGCTCTTTGCCAAAAGCCAAAAGTCTGTTCGTCTGACAGGGGTGTCCGGCCGGACCCATCGTGAACTTTCTCCCCTGGGCCTATCTTCCGGGGTGTGGATGAGCTGCTACCGAGCCGTACCCTCCCCAATATAACTTTGTATATATATCAATGTACACTCTCTTGTTGTTGTTCCTTGCCCTGGCCTGCTCTCCTTTCCGCGCCTTACTTTGCCTTGCTTGAAGCTTGCTTCCCTTCTCTTCAATACAAAAACTTACGTTCTTTTCTACACCATCTCGACCGCTCTGACAGGCCGAGTTCGTCACTCCTTGTCCTCCAACCTCATTCGTATATATTCATCTTATCTGCCGGACCAGAGGTAGCCAGTCTACCCTTTCACAACAACCTTCAAGGACCCTTCATTCTCGAGCCTTGAGCGCAAGCCGACTAGACCTACTACAGCAATAAAGCTTGTGTAGTGTTCCGTATACATCATAGCAAAGCAGCGAGGGTAAAATCAACCAACATGCGCTTCCAAACTTATTCTCTCCTTGCCATTCTCCCGGCCCTTGTCGCTGCGGGTACTCCACCTGCCTACGCCGGTATGAAGATCACGTTCCAGGACACATTCAGTGGCGCTGCTGGATCTTCACCGGATTCGAGCAAATGGAATATTGCTCTAGGTAAATGAGAATGCCTGAGACTATTTGACTGAGGCTGACATATTCTTTATAGCCATCAACACCAACAACGAGTTGCAGACTTACACCACTTCGAACAGCAATCTGCAGATCTCCGGCGGCGGCACTATCCAGTTTGTGCCGCGCCGCTCGCCGTCCGGCAAGTGGACCTCAGGCCGGATTGAGACGACGGGCAGCTACACGCCCCAGCCGGGAAAAATCATGCAGGTGGAGGCGGCTCTCCGACTAGGCGACGCTCCGCAGGCCAACAAGCAGGGCATGTGGCCGGCATTCTGGATGTTGGGCGACGCGATGCGTCATGGTACTCCCTGGCCACAGTGTGGTGAGATTGACATCTTCGAGATGGTCAATGGCATCCCAACCGTTCACGGCACCACCCACTGCACTGCGTGCAACGAGCCCATTGGCTTCGGCGGCACTTCGGGCACCGACTCGAACTGGCACACGTACTCTGTCAAGATCGATCGCACTCCTGGCAACTGGGCGGACGAGACCATTACCTGGCTCAAGGACGGCCAGACCTTCTTCACGCTCAGGGGCGCAACCATCGGCGATCAAGGTGTCTGGGCAACTCTGGCACACAGCCCGCTGTACATTCTGCTTAACCTTGCCGTTGGCGGCGACTGTATGTGATCTCCCTTCTTCTTGGTATTTGACCCTCCTGCTAACATTACTGCTATAGGGCCTGGTTCTCCTAACGGCGCGACTACAGACGGGTATGGCAGCATGATGGAGGTGGAGTACGTCGCCGTCTACACCACATAGAAAAACGAACCCGACAACAGCGATGGGTACGACAGCTATGACATGATATCCTTTTGGGCATAGGCGTTGATCGGAGGGCAAAGACGGGATCCAAACACTTTCTTGGACAAGCCGCAACTTTTTTGATTTCTGAACTGTCCCGCATGGTTGGACACTTTACTTCTTCTGCTGCGCGAGAGCGCATAGTGGCTCTTGCCACGGTATATATACCTTAACTTCATACTTCTTAGACTTAGATTCTATTGATACCATACCCATTTGAGAACCTCTAGTACTAGATTGCCGAAAGGATTTGCGTGGATCATCATAGCCTGTGGTGGAGGAGTCGTGATCGACGGGATCTGCCCCTGAGTGCCGGGCGCTTGGACCATGTTCATAGCTGCCTGCCACCTCACCTGCCAGACTCTCGTAGCGCCGCTCAACCACAGATATCACATCACGATTGCAGAATTAGCAGAGGGAAAAGGCAGAGTTTTGTTCTGTTCTACTTGATAGATGACTACCATGTACTGATTCAGTCAATGGTTAGCCTCAGCCGACCACCGACAAACCTCCCTGCAGCACCAGTGCGCAGAGACAGCCTCCAGTCAACCTTGACGGGCATAGAGATCCCCGTCCATCCTCATAACACCATTCAGTAAAGCATTGTCGTTGTCAATGTCGTGGATTCGTGAGCTGTTCTCAAAACAGCGTTGCCCTCATCACCGTCATGTCTAGCTATCAAGAGAAGAAGTAGCCAACACGATCAACCATGATCTCGTTGACACGTCAAAAAAGGCCATATCGAAAAGAAGACCAATGACTAAAGAATGAAGAAGGGACTTCATGGGCACTACTTCTGCGCGCCGGCAGAAGTGCCGGGGCGAGATGGCGGGGGAGAGAGGCCCGCGACACCGGTAGTGCCAAGACCGCCAGTCGCAGGCTCGGTCGCGTTAGTGGCCTGTCCAGAGTTGTCTGGAACAGTATCCGTAGGTTGAGAAGACGCGGGGCCAGGAATACCGAGCTGGGCGGGAGCGAAGTACGTCTGCTGTGCACCGGAGCCGTTGCCAGAGCTCGTGCCTGTGGAAGCCACATGACCAGCCGTTGGGGCCGAGCAGGGAGGGGCGGGAGTGTGGAGCGGGAGATGAGCCAAGTCAGGATGGTTGCGATTGAAGTCTGTAGAGGGGCGAAAATCGAGATCTTGCAAGCGGTCCCGGGTGGCAGACTGCGATGCCCACATGTCCGTGTCGTACGGCCGGCTCGGTACGGCGTCGTAGCTGGGAAAGAAGGCCATTGGATGGATTGCGCTTGGAGAGCCAGGAATACCCGGTCGACGCGGCAGTTGAGCAACCGGAGTAGTGCGCGTCGTGGGCGGTTTCTTAGGCAAGGAGGCAGTGCTGCGAGGGCCAGTTGGCGTTGTCGGACTACCCGCGATGCCGAGCATACGAGCCGGCTGGGCTGGGGTAGCAAAACCTCGGGGAGTTTTGGGCGGGCCACCGCGGCCTCTGGTTGGAGTGATCAAGCTAGACTCATGAGCAGAAGTATCGGGAAGATGTGGCTGAGTGCGTCCCGGAGTCGGAGAATCAACATCCATCGCATAGTCGGCGTCCTGGAAATAAGCAGGATCAGTGGTCTGACGGCCACGATTGATTGCAGCAACATGAGTAGGATTGGGATGCTCTCGGTGGTCCATGATTGCACTCTTAGCAGGAATTCGGTCCTCCTCAGCAAGCGACCAATCATCCAAGGTAGCTCCAGAGTTGCCATTTGAAGCCATGCCTCTCAGCTTCATCTCAGGATGATGAAGGGTGTTCTCCATTGCAGTCTGTGCCGCGTCGTTCAAGTTACCGGCCAACCAGCCGAGCTCGTGCGCCGCCCAGGGGGCTTCAGCGGCCATCAGATCTCGATCAGAATCATATCCACGCGCAGCCATAACTCGATTGAACTCCGCCTCGAAGAATTCGCCAGCCTCCTCGATAGCAGGATCAAGCTCCTCATCGCGACGGGCGAAAACGTTGTCCACAATAGGTTCCGCATGGCGAGCAGGATTGCCACCTGGATGGCGGCCAGAGAACGGAGCAGAATTGGAAGGGACGGCACCACGTCTCGGAGCCACTGAAGTTGGAGCTGCGGTTGAGTGATTCTTTGCCTGACGGGGCTTTGGATTCAGTTTGAGCCGAATTCTCTGTCCAGCAGGGCGGTTGTTGTGGACGCTGCCATTGGTGAACGGAGCTTGGTCCGACAAATCTGCATTGACAGCCATTGCAGGAGCGCCCATAAAGACATCGTGAGCGCCGGGCTTGAAGGCAGCACTGCACAAATCATCCTCCTTTTGGAAAGGCAGACCAGTGACAGGGTTTGTAGAATGACCCTCTCGCTGCGCTCGAGCCACATGATCATTCTTGATCTCGTCCATGATCTCATCGTAGGTCTCATCGAAGAGCGCTTGGTTGTAGGCGTGAAGCTGCTCAGCCGTGTGATGCTCAGGAAGTTCAGGTACCTTCGAAGGCTTCTTGATGGCGTGGGCAAGGTTCTGACCAGCCATCATCTGATCGGAGTTCGCGAGCCCCTGAGAGCCAGATAGATTGGCAGCTTCCATAGCTTTCTTGGTCTGGTGCGCGAGTGTGGCGGCCTGGTTCATGGTCTGGAACAGAGTTCCATTTTCCTGCATCTGCTTGATATTCTGCTCGATAGCTGGATCGATCCCGCTGTTTTGGGTGGCAACTCGCAGCAAAGCCGGGTTGATGGTTCCCGCAACAGGGTCGAAGTCTGCGGACATCTCGGGCGGATAGACTGGGAAGTTTTGCTCTAGGAAGGGCTGCAGATTTGCGGCAGCGAGTTGCTCGAGGTCGTCGAGATCCGCGGGCTGATCGAAAGCTGGCCAGGGATCAACGGCCGTCAGGTCGTAAATCTCCTCCTCCTCCTGGCCTTGACCTGAGGGAAAAGTCAGATATTCAACCTCCGCGTGAGGAGTAGCGGCTTCTCTTCCAGCTACAGCTGGCACCTGGCTTATGAACTGATGAGAATATGGAAGTTAGCTGAGGGTTAGAAAAGAAAATGGAAGGGGGAGAAATTGTGTTCAAAATCCGCATCGAAAAATCAGTCAAGTTTTGTTTTGTTTTGGTACCAACTTACCGGCCCGGGGAAGTTTTCCTGTGATGAAGGCAGTGCCTCTTGGTGATCGCCCGTGCCGTCTTGCATCTTGTGCCATAAACAAGAGCAAGCAAAGTGAGGGAAGCAAATTCGGAAGAGATCGTGAGCCACGGTTAGGGGCAGCAAAGGAGGAGGTCTGGGCAGAACTCATTTTCACTACAGCATGAAAGGGGCTAAACTTCGGACAACCTTTTTTGTACAGTCCCAAAGCTCACAGGTTCAAAACGAAAGGATCTTTCATTTTTTTCTGGCAGGGAAATTCTATCATCTCAATCCATTCTTTGATCCTGTACCATAAACAAATGAAGGAAACAAATCGGAATGGTGGCCATGCAGAGCCTTGTAAATTTCATCGAAGCCCCTTGGTATGGTCCCTTGGTACGGTTGGCACAATCGTCAATGACCATGCCATCGTTTTCATACTTATCCCTTTTCAAAGCTACCAGCTCTTGATTAGCTCTGCCAGGACTCAAGCTCAAAGACTGTCACTTGTTTGTAGCGGGTTTTGCAGAGAATTACGAGAGAGGCATGAACGGAGATAGCGTCATATAGAGGAAACTGGCCAAAGCATTGTGGTGCTGAGGATCGTGAAAATGGGGCAGAAATTTAGGATAATCTTGATTATCTTAAGTCTGTTCAATCACCTCCATATCTCATACTAACTAGAGATCCCAATCGCAACCTGTACATCTGGCAGTGGCAATGAGGTCTTAGAATCGCTCTACCACCCTTGGTCTCAGATCCCGCCCGACACGCCTTCGCCTAGAATCTCGCCTAACTGAACAATTGTGTTTTCGTACACGCGAGCTACATCCATGTGAAGTGTATCATCGCCTTCATCCCAATTTGGGTCAGTGAAACTGCCAGTCCCATTCGTCCCTGTTTCCGTCTCATCGCCAGTCTCTACATCATCATCATCATCATTTTCATCTCCACCTCCATCTTCGTCCTCTGGCTCCTTGTTCATGATGTCCACGATCAAAACTCTCGTTTGTTCCACTAGACTCTTACAGCGAACCATTTCTGTACGAGTCATCCCTGCTCCGGTTCCGTTTTCGAAGCCAGGCAAAGGCTCTTTTGACTCGATGTCTCGACCAGAGAGAAGGCTCGCAAAGCAGTGATCGAGCTTTCGGAGGACTGCAAAGGTGGCCGGAGGACTTGGTGCGAAGGAAGTCACCCATGTCGTGAGCTCGCCGGCGATATTTAGAAGGTGCGGCACCTGTAGACTAGCTGCGAGGATATTAGCTACAGCAGAAGATTTCAAGATGTGATGGAAGTACTTACGTGTCCCAGATAGCCATATGATGTTGATCAGAGCCTCGACGTCCTTGCAAAGTTCGCTCATTGATTTATATCCTACCACCTCGTCACCGGGCTCTCGAAGTCCGAACTTCTTGACATATCGGCGATTGATGTACAAAACGCGGTCCTCCACATATCTCCTAATCTTGTCCTCTTTTACAGATCCTGAGCGCAAAGGGTGGGCGCGAGGATGTGGCAGCCCTGAGACTGACAAGGTTGAAGTTGTGGTTGGCGCAGGCGACGGGAGTGTTTGTTGTAGAAAGCCCCCCGGGCCGGGTGATTGTGGGTCTTCAGCCATTTTCGATATCGTTGAATCGTGTTGTGTGTAGGTAATCAGCTTGCCATGGCATTTTCACTGTTGGTTGCAGATAGGGGCATGCTTCGTTGGCTGCAGGGCCCGTTCTTAAGCTGTTTGGAGGCGGCGGCTTGTGTGGGGTGATGCTGTTGGGTGGCATGAATTGTTGACGACACGACGGCTAGCCTCGCTTCGCCAAGCAGCTAACTGGGCCATGTGATTGGGTCATGTGGTAGCTCAAGATCTCAGCCTCGCGCTAGTGCCCCCAAAAAATTCCATACTACGCAATTCCTAAGCTTCGAGTCCTGACAACCATCACGAAACTGCCACCCACATCTCATCGCTGTCATCAATCCATCCACACAACACCCACACATAATGCCGCCGAAGAGAATCGTTGTTGAAAGGGGCGCTCCCCGCTCAAGAGCTCCTAAGGGGGTTTTCGCATCTACTTACGACACACTCACCTCGGCCGAGAATGCGGCAATGGTTCGCAGCATCGCAGCATTCGGCGTAAGTACCACCTACCCACACAGCTCTGCGTAATGTCAACGGTGTTCGAACTTACATTCTATACAGGTTGGCGTCGCTTTTCTAGCCAGTTCATGGGCGGAGTTCCTGCTACCTCCGTGAGTATTCCACTTCTTCGACCTCGGATCGCGTTTTGCTGACCTTGCTCATCGCAGCCAATAAACGAATCATTGAAGGCCGCGAATCGACTCTAAATCTATAATCCGAGAGTCTTGGAGAATGTACCATAAGGCGATTATAATTTGTACAATAGATGGGCAAGGGCTGCATTGAAGTCATTAATGGCTAGGGATCTCTTGCATGGCGTTGACCAAACGCAGATCTCCATTATACTACACCAAGACATTGACCATTAAATCACTAGTCTTTGATAAAATTTTGATATCATGAGGACATGCTCTCCTCCCAGCGTCTTGGGTTCGATTATTGGTGACATGAGCAGGACGAAGGTTGGTTGACGACTGCTTCAATGCGCAGGGCATATGTCTCTTGAGGCAGCTGGATTTTGAAAAGATTCAACACTCGTCGACCAATTACAGCACGTCCTTCACTCCCAACCAGCTGGTTATCTACGCTTCACACAACATGCATGCCGCTCGAAATGTAACTATTCAGATCCACTTTAAGCCCTCATATCCCACCACACTTAGGCCACGAGCCCACATGCCAGGACTCGAGAACTCAGGTTGCTCATATTCACCAAGCCAGGCCTTTGTTCTTCTGAGCAAAGTCCACGTGAGCTCATGAGCCGTACAGCCATTCTAGCTGAATTAGTGAAGCCTCAGGTACTCTTAAGAGAAACAGCCACCGTCTTGGCAGATATGAAGGCTGAGTAAGCTCTGAGACCCTTATTCGGCGAAGTCTGGCTTAAGCTCTGAATAATCATACCTCGACTTAAGGCAACTTAAAAGAAGCTTAAAGATTGTCAATGCATTTCGCGGGCACCGATTGCCTTGTTCAGCTCCAACCATGCTTAGGTTCACTTCTCCCCCCACCGTAATATGTAGAGGCTAGGTACTTGTTTGATTGGCTTTCTTAGGTGCTGATCAGTAATAAGGCGAATTACTACGCTAGATCAATTTGTAAGCTCGCGAACTTGATCACTTTATCTCGATTGGGATAGGTGTGGCTACCTCACGGCTTGTAATAAGCGTATGTACTATCGTGAGACAGTGAAATGATACAAATGCCCATCATGTGGTGCTGGAAACCTGCAGTGGCTCTTCGGGTGGTATATAAAGAACAATGATTCTGCGTTTATCTAGACGGCTTTGCCTCACACCTTCACTGCTCTCCTCCTCGGAATGATGATCAGTGTAGCTGTGTTGGCCGCTTTCGGCCTCTTTGGCAGTCTCCAGACACAAGCTGCTTCTATCTCAAACCAAGGATACAATGCCCAGCCTTTCATTATCGATTTGTCTCAAAATGTCGGACACATGTTCGACCTGATTGATAACACCCATCTTCCCGAGAAGGAAGAATATGATGGTGTCAGCTCTGATCTTGGCATACCTTTGAGTACCTTGAAGAAACTCCAAAAGGATTGGACCTCATGCTTCAATTGGAAGAAGGAACAAGATTCTATGAATAAGTATGTACCATCTCTTTGTAGTAGTCACTCTCTAAAAGCCCGTTAGGTTCAAACATTTTACTACCACCATCGAAGGTCTGTCCGTCCACTTCATCCATGAGAAGTCCCAGGATCCGAACGCCATCCCACTTATCCTATTACACGGTTGGCCTGGGTCATACCTCGAGTTTGTGCCGATCATTAACGACCTCACCAAGAAAGCCCGGACTTCAACAGGGAGGCCAGTCTCCTTCCATGTTGTTATCCCCTCACTTCCTGGATTTGCGTTCTCGTCTCCCCCTCCACAAGGCTGGACTGCTGAAGGGGATACCGCTCGTTTGTTCAATACCTTAATGGTAGACGTCTTGGGCTACGAGACATACGCGACCTTCGGAACAGATTGGGGTTCTGGACCAGCATATGGCATGTATGAGGCATTCAATACCACCTGTAGAGCCGCTCATCTTGCTTTCCTCCCATTTCTTCCTAAGGACTTAGACGGGCTGGCAGCTCTAAACATCACGCTTGATCCTCTGGAAGCATTTGAGGAACAAGTCACGTTGACCTGGTCAGCAAATGGTGCCAGTTATCTTACCGAACAGACAACAAAGGTGCGAGTCAACTTCCTCAGATCCAGTGCACAAGAGCTAAATTGTTTGAGCCAAATACCATCGGCTTAGCCCTTTTCGATAACCCAGTGGGACAGTCAGCATGGATAGGAGAAAAGTATCTGAATTGTAAGTCGCACAGCAGTCCTGATTCAACCATGATACTAATAGATACCTGAAGGGTCTGACCCTCGCGCTGGAACGGGTCCCTCAGTGCTTACTCACAATGAGATTCTACGTAGTGTCTCGTTGTATTATCTCACTAAATCATTCGTGTCATCAGTCTTCATCTACGCAGACAACCCCAACGGTTTCAAATTCGAATATACTAAGGCACAAACGGATGCACCACTGCTATTCAGCGCATTCAAATATAACCCCGGCTTTTGGCCCAAGGGATTGGTCGAGTTGGTCGGAAATTTGGTATCTTACCGAAGTATGTGTTCTACATATAGCAAAACGTCAGTAATGACTAACATCGGGTAGATCACGACTATGGTGGCCATTTTCCTGGCCTTGATAACCCAACCGCTTTGATCGATGACTTGAGAGAGATTGGCACATTTTGGGCAGACTAGAGATGTTCAGTCTGGGAAAATGCGATTCGAAGCAGAAGCATTATGAACCAAAGTATCGATAGTCAGTATTATAATCGCCTATCACCTCTACATGAATGGATTTCTGGGCTATTCCTCAGAAACTGCAAGCCCGGACTTTGAGTCCGAGGACCTGAAAGTTGATTTGTGGGTTGACAGACAGATGTGGCAAAAGACCCAGATAGATGATGACCCATTGACTTCTACCCCTTGAGTCCCTCTCCATGCTTTGACAGAAGGGTCCGATAAGAGCAAAAGTTTTCAGTCTCTGCTGCCATTCCATTTGTGAACCTATCTCCCATACCTTATCAGCATGGCTTGGTTGAGAAGAATCTTGAATGACGATTGATTGGCTTTATGCCAGCATACTCAGAGACGAAACTCAAGTATACCAAAATCCATTTCCGTCTTCAGAGGTAAGCTCTCACCACTCTAAGCTAAGCGAGCCCTAAGCATCCAGTGAGTATCTCTAAGCTTCAGCTGACCTAGACTAAGCTTAGGTTAAGTTGTAGGACTTATATCCTTATAATAATCAATGTAAAGGTTCTTTATATGGTCTTAGGTCCTAAAGCTGGGAATATAACCTTATTTTTAGCCTTGTTTAAAGTTTCTATAATCAGAGTAATCTATTAATATGACCAAAATTGTGTTATAGCCTTTGTGTGACTTATCTTGATTGTAAACTTTAAGGTAGTATAATTTTGACTCTTATAGTGAGGTATATTATACTATGTGAAATTTGGAGATGATTCTATGTACTTAAGATGACAGTATGACTTGCAGAGCGAGAGCTTATAGTATGGGCTTGTACCCCCCCTCCCGAGCTCAAGGCACCATTGTTTCTCTCAACATCCGATCCTGCCTGTTCGCAACTGTCAATGATAAAGTGAGTCAGCTCATACCTTCTTACAACACCTGAGGTATCTAATAGGAGCTTTTGTTGCTGGTCATCGGGTTGCTCGCAAACGAGGCTCCGGCATATATCCTGAAACGTCGTCATCGTCCGTTCGGGCTCATTTTCTCTACTGTAAAAGCTCTCAATCATTGTCAAAAAGGAGTTTCGTCTTATTCGAGCCATGGCTTCTGATCGAGTTCGCGATGCTATCGATCAAGTTGACAAAACCATGTCAATTGCCGGCGTTCCCGGGGTGTCGATTGGAATAATGAAACGCGGCCAGGCACTTGAAACATACCACAAAGGATTTCGCGATGTCAAACAAGGCCTCGCTCCAGACAATGATACCCGCTATAACATCAACTCCCTCACGAAAGCCTTCATCTCAGCTTTGGCGGGTATAGAAATATACGAAGGCCGCAAAGGACTTGATTGGTCCAAACCAGTAAAGGCTTTTCTACCAGATTTCAGCGGATCTACCAGCGACATTGAGTCAGAAAGCACCATCATCGACTTGCTATCACATCGTTGGGGGGCTTCCGGTTTCGACGATTTCTGGTTCGGGTGTGACAATGTTATCTTCCTCCCCCGAGATGAAGTCTTGAGAAGTGCTAGAGTCCTAAGACCTGCAGAGCCATTCCGAGCGGCTTTTGAGTAAAACAACTGGGGTTACGAAGTTGTGGGGCAATTACTTGAAAGCCTCTCCGGTAAAGACAGCGCTACTTTATTGAAAGAGAAAGTGTTCACACCTCTGAACATGGCTCGCACTAGTCTGTTTTGGAACTCGTCGGATAGCAACGAGGCAAAATCATATGGTATACTTTTTGACCAATCTCCACAGGAGATTGCGCGACCATTCTGAGACATCTCTCTCATGATGAAAACAGCGGGTGGCATCAAGTCATCTTTGAATGATGTCATGTCATTCTACGAGGTCTGGATGAAATCTGTTATAGCACAATTTGATGGATCAACAGATTCAACACCTAGATCTCCATTCAAGCAATGCCGAAAGATCGCCTCACATCATGCTAGCTTTGAAGGTTCATCTTTACGGGAACAAGGATACGGTCTTGGATGGGCTCGAGCACAACTACCCGGCCAGCTAGGACGTATAGTCTTCAACCCGATTATCGGTGAGGAACCCATAGCTGGGAAGGGAGGCAGGTCTCGACTTGTTTTATATCATCATGGGCTCATGCCTGGGTCAACTTCTGCCGCTTTACTAGTGCCGGAATTACAACTGGGTGTTGTAGTCCTGCAGAACTCGATGCCTGTCATTGACACTGCGGACTTTATTGCACAGCTGCTCCTTGAGGCTCTTCTAGAGGTCCCAGAACCCAATGATTACGTCAGTCTGTCCCAAAGCTTCTACGACAAAGCCATTGGCCATGTTGAAAGAGTACATAAGCAACTGGACGGGGATCGTGCTCCTGGGACTCGCCCACGACCGCTCTCTCAGTACGAGGGCCGTTATTGGAACAGTCTTGGGAATTTTTACATTGATATTTCTATCAACACCCAGACTGAAACAACTGATGGGATGATCATGATGATGAATGGGTTGCCTTTACAGACGTACAAGCTCGAACACCACCATTTCGATACTTTCTCGTGGGCTATGCCATATGATGAAATGGTGCGACGAGGCCGAGTTTTGAGTTACGAAGCAGAATACTATCTGATAGGATTCGAGGCTAGTGGTAAGAATGTCGCGAAATTGCTCTGGGCCGCTGACAGTAACTTTCCTCACACGCCAATAATTCTAACTAAGCCGAATATCACGAATAAACAGACAGATGGCACATTTGTTAAGTCGCAAATCTTCCTGTGGTCGATGGGCATCTGTATTGCTTTTGGAAGCTTCCTGGCTTGGAAATATATACGCTGGAATAGGAGTTCTCGAACAGACATTGCCAGAAGATATCCACGTGCCATGACGTATCAAGCTCTCCCACCCACACAAGATGAAGGAAAAGTGCCTTTCATGTTGGAAGGGTAGATACAGACCCTCTGGTTAATGAAGCGGCATTGAGATCTGGAAACTCATGTGCAATGAATTGGTCTTTGTATCTTGGCTCGTTGTTTGGGCTTCTCTTGTTTCTCTTCATGATCGCATTCAGCTTACATTAGCAGCTTCCCAGGTAGTTGGCAGAGACGGTTGGCAGAGATGGTTGGCGGAGAGTGTGGAACATGTCTACAAGACCTTTAACCGGCTTAGTTGACTGAGAAGGCAGGAAGATAGGTTTCCAAATCCCAGAACAATGATGGTCTGTTGTTTATAACGTTTATTACTTCCATGCGTGCCATGTTAACAATGGAATCAAATTTGTGAATGGCTTTGTTCAACATTTCAGGCAGTCACGCCAAGTTGCGATGAATGCCCCTTTGTTCTAATATTTGTCAACAAAATCAATCATTACCCTAGACCTCATTTATTTGTTTAAAAGTAATTAACGAGATTCTCGCCTGAACAATGTCTTCCTTCCTTCCTTCATTCTACCTCACCTCAACCTCTTCATTCATGCTATTGACTAGATAAAATTTTCTGCGCTCTGGTCCCTGCTCAACAGATTCCAACACGCGACAGATCCGTTAGAGAAACAACACAACAAAGTCCATAATGGACTCCAAGATGATCCTCCTCGTGGCTATTCTTAGCCTCTGTGGTCTTCTAAACACGGCTCAAGCATACTTCGTCATCAATTGCGGTAAACCTGTTGTTTCCGAGCGCGTCGACCCCATTAGTGATGCAGGCCGACCAGCTCACCATGCACACGATGTGCTTGGCGGTAGCGGTTTCAACTTCACGATGGACTATTCCGACACCCAGAGCTCCAATTGCACCACGTGCAGGGTTACCAAGGACTTGTCCAATTACTGGTTCCCTAAGATGTACTACCATGCCGATAACGGAAGTTTCATCGAGGTTCCCCTAACTGGCGGCGCCAACATTTACTACAAGCAAGCATCCCACCCTTTTAAGATTTGTGATCCTGCTAACGATTATATAGACAGCACTACGACCCGACTGATCCCGGCTTCGAGGGCAAACCTTACTTTAACCCCTTTCCGCACGAATTTCGAATGATTGCAGGCGATTCTCAACGACGAAACTACGACGAGACCATCCCGGCGCAGCGAGCCATCCAATGGGTGTGCATTGGTGGTGAGAACGAGAACCTGCCCATGACGGGTGCCCTTCCAAATCGAACATGTCAGGGAGGTCTTTCGGCCAGAATTCACTTTCCGTCATGTTGGAATGGCATGGCTGACTCTAATGATCATAAGACTCATGTTGCCTATCCGTCGAGAATGGACAGTGGGCCATGCCCTGAAACACATCCGAAGCGTCTACCGTTCATATTGTATGAAGTAACCTATGCGACGTCTAGCTTCGATGAATTGCGACAAGAGGGTGATCAGCCCTATGTTTTGGCCAATGGGTAAGTACCCTCCTATTTCTCAAAGATATCTCTGTAACTAACAACTTTCATAGTGATCCTACTGGCATGGGCATGCACGGCGACTTTCTCAACGGATGGGATACTGAGGTTCTCGATCATGCCATTAATGACGAGACATGTGGAGATTCGGCGAGCGGTACCATTGAGAAATGTGTCCCACTACAGCCATATCTTCAAGACGTAGGCCTCGTCCAATGCAAAATCAACGAGCGCGTCGATGAGAAGATTCACGGCGTCCTTACAAAACTCCCGGGCTGCAACAAGATCCAGAATGGGCCGGGCAACGCCACCATGCAACCGTGTCACAATGAGCACAAGAATCAGGGAAGACTAGAGGTTGAACGCGAACGGACACGATTTTAACTCAAATTAATTATGGAATTCAAGAAGCAGGAGAAATATAATATTAAAATGATACTTGCTTAGCTGACAACTGCTTGAAAAGCATGAAGACAAAATTGATTGAATCTACTCCACAGCCTCGGGGCTCCTAACCCTCAACGGCTTTGATTGGTAGTATCTTACACCGAATGTTTGTCATTAATGCTTCTATTGCTTTGCTGTTGGAAGCAAATACAAATATCTCTGATGTTTTATGACTAGGTTCCATCTTTCCCGTTCCAAATAATATAAGCAACCGGGTTGGTGTAAATTTTACAGTGACTGGTTCGAGCACCTTGCCTGTCCTTTTATTTATTACCCTATCACATAAACATAACCAGACCTACGAGTCACGAGAATTGTTCATCACGTTAACCTCTGCTCCCGCAAGCATTTCCCTCCATATCTTTCCTCCACTGTGCTTTGACCTCATCTAGGAGCCCATCTTGAGTCAAAACATCGACTGCTGTTGCTGCCAATGCTTTCCCTACCCTTAGTGACCTTTCGAAAGCGTCCTTTGTTCCAGCAGCTGTCGCAAAGTCGGGGTTGTGAGGACCGGCGTTCTCGGGACCTGGCAAAATTTGGAATCCAGGGCTCAGACTGGGCATCGCGTAGCTGATATCTCCCTGGTCTGTACTTGCTTGCGTCACACCTTGAATCTCGTCCACGTCTTGGTCTAGAGGTATCTTCCTCTCTGGGCCGAGCGCATTGAAGTAGCGTGCGTAGCTTGCGGCAAGCACCCGATTCGGTACGTGGTCTGCGTACGCCTGGAGGGGCGTGATCTTGAGCTTCGCGCCTGTGGCTCCGGCCCCGGCCTCAAAGCAAGCAGTCACCTTGGCCTGCAGCTCTACGAGGCGAGCCTGCGTGCTCGCACGCGTCACGAATATTCCCGCCGTGTAGGCATGGATAATGTTCGGTGCTACGCCGCCATCCGTGATGTAGCCTTGGATGATGTCGCCCGGCATCGTCTGCTGCCGCAGAACTGACAGCGCATTGTAGGCTGTGATGAGCGCATCCAGCGCGTTTATACCTAACCACGGGCTCGCTGCCGCGTGCGCCTCCCGCCCATAGTACTCCACCTTAAAGCGCTCATATGCTGTACTATGCACCAACGCGTTGTCTTGAACAATACCCGGGTGCGAGATGAGATTGATGTCGACCTTGTGGTCTCGGTATGCGCCGGCTTTCAGGAGCGCAATCTTGCCGCCGCCTCCTTCCTCCGCGGGCGTGCCATATAGGACTACTTTGCCGGGTATGCTACGAGCCTTCATTGTATCAGCCGTCGCCAACGCGCCAGCCACAGAGGCCATAGCTATGAGATTGTGGCCACAAGCATGACCAATGCCAGTGAGAGCGTCTAGCGGAGTGGTCAACACGCGTTCATGAATCTCTCAAAGCAATAAAGCTGGATCATTGAAGAAGCTCACCCATCTCGGCATTAAAGGAAACTACCGGACCCTTCTTCCCAGTGTCATAGACAGCAATCCAGGCGGTTTTGATGCCATATGCTGAAGGCGTGACTTCCCATCCCTGCTGGCTCCTCATGAAGGTCGTCAAAGCTTCATGAGCAATATATTCTTCATATCCTAGCTCCGGATTATCGTGGATCTTCTTGTTGACTGGCCATAGTGCTTCTGCGACGCTGTCGATGTAGTCGCCGATGTCGCTGAGGTAGTCCGGGCCGCCGTAAATGCATAGGCCAGCCTCGTCGTGGCTCACCATCACGAAGTCCTCCATTGCCGCATCCATCCCTTAGAAAGTCTTTGTGTCTAGATTCGATCAGCGCTGTCGTTGGTCACCTTGACAGCTACCCCGAACTAATGCGGCTCGAAGATAAGGCAGAGGAAAACGTGGTTATGTGGTCCCATCCGGGTAAATGTCGGACGGTGACTGCCGGATCGGATTGAAATTCGACTGGGAGATATACACCTTATACGCTATAATGGTGGTAGTTTCGCTAGTTTTCTGCCCACGACTCATGCTCCGCCTTGCGTGATGCAGGGCCAATTGGGTGCAGCAATCAAATAGGCCATTCTCGCACTATGCGATATCGCACGAGCTGCTATCTCACTAACTTCAATTTCCTTTAGAAATAGTTGATCCTTTCTACTCTTATCGCGACAACGGGCGGATCCGTCCACCGGAAAAGGTCGAGACTCCCTGATAGCTCTCTCCGTAGTGGGGTAACTAGTCGACTATTGATCGGGTACAGCTTGCCGACGCGTGCCAGGAATTTGGTTCTTAATGCAGGGACCATCCCACCGGTACGAAGTGCTGGAGATGGCTTCGAAAAAGTTGAGTCGTACCAGTGCAACCAGTCTGTGACCCTGACCCTCACAATGGACATCTCAAACAACACAGCGAGCGCTCCTGACGCCGACCCGGAGAAGCGGGCCGGTGTCGACGACATCAATGTTCATACGACTCATGACTCGCCCGATCTTGACATTTCCAAGGTCGTTATCAAGGATGAGACCGGCGAACTGGCTAGCAAGGCGCTGATGAGCGGTACCGTTGACCCGGAAGCCTCACGCAAGGTCTTGAAGAAGATTGATCTTTATCTTCTTCCCTTCTTGTGCATCACTTACGCTTTGCAATTCATCGACAAGACTTCTCTGGGCTACTCGTCTGTTTACGGTATCATTCCCGATAACAAGCTGGTTGGTCAAGACTATTCATGGACCAGCTCTATCTTCTACTTCGGTTACCTCCTCGCCGAATACCCCGGAGTCGCCATCCTGCAGAGATTCCCAGTCGCGAAGTTCCTCGGTGCCAATATCATTCTCTGGGGTGCTGTACTCATGACCACGGCGGCTTGTTCCTCATTTGGCGGACTTGCCACGGTCCGATTCATTCTGGGTATGACTGAGGCGACAATCTCTCCTGGCTTTGTCGCTGTGACGGGTATTTGGTGGACTCGGGCAGAACAGGCCGGCCGTTCAGCACTGTGGATTTCTTTCCTCGGTGTGGGCAGTTTCGTTGGCGTGCTGATTGCCTATGGCATTGGCCACATTACTGGTAGCTTGTCGCCGTGGAAGTACATCTTCCTTATCCTTGGTGCTATCACGATCCTTTGGGGTGTGGCGTTTATTCTTTTCGTCCCGGACAGCCCTACCCAGGTGAAGTGGCTGTCCGAGGAAGAGAAGGTCATCGCTGTTCAACGTATTGTTGAGAACAAGACCGGAACCAAGAGTCGGCACTTCGAGAAGGCCCAGATTCTTGAGGCTGTCAAGGATCCGAGGGTCATTATCCTTGGGCTGATCTCATTTGTCAACGCCATGGCCTCTGGTGGACTTTCCTTCGGCTCCCTGATTATCCAGGGCTTTGGATTCTCCCCTATCCAGACTACTCTGATGAACTTGCCTCTGTCCACTGTACAAGTTGTGGCTCAACTTAGCTGTGGATTCCTCATCACCAAGATTGGCAAGTCCAGACTGCATATCGCATCTCTTGCAATGATTCCTCCGGTATGATGATTCAGGTCACGTTCGACTAGGACACTAAGCTAACTAATACCATAGATCATCGGTACTTGTCTGATCAACCAGCTGAAGCACTCCAACAAGTGGGGCAGACTGGTCGGTGTGTGGCTCCTGGGTTCCTACCCCGTTGGATTCATGGTTATCCTGGGTCTTCTGTCAACCAACATCGCTGGTAGCACCAAGCGCTCCGTGGCTTCTGGGTGGGTATTTGTCTGCTACTGCGTGGGCCAGATTTCCGGCCCGCAATTCTTCAAGAGCAAGCAAGCCCCAGAGTATCACAGCGGCATTGTAGCCATGCTGTGCGGTTTCGTCTTGAACTTGGTGCTCAACCAGGTCCTGAGGTTCCTCTATATTCGTGAGAATAAGAAGCGGGACCAGGCGCTTGCGGGCAAATCTGAGGAGGAGCTTGCAGACATGAAGAGGGAGAGTGAGTTGCAGGGCTTTGAAGATGTTACTGACAAGCACAATGTGAGTATCTCTGCTATGATCCATCAAACTTACATTTGAGACCAAGCTAACCTGTCAACAAGGCAATGTTCCGCTATGTGTTGTAGAATAGTCATATATGGCTATATAAGTGAAAACTGGAAACAAATTTTTACGGGCGGCGTGGGTGGTGCTAGAGATTTGATTAAGGAGACACCATTTGAGATTGAGTCGTTTCCTTTTTAGCAATGAATGTTAACCATGGTTAATGGAATTAGTGCTGTAATGCTAGTTGACGGAGTGAGCGAGTCGAATAAGAGCGAAGAAACAAGCAGTTGGCCTGTTGTAACTTTGATATATTGCAACCACTCCATTGTGTTAAACATCGACCACTCTTTCTGTTATACCTCAGCCGCGTACGCGACCTGAGGTGCGTGCCCAGGCGCTAAAAGACTTGGTTCGGCAAGAATCTATTGATGCACCGTCTAACTATGCTACCAACGCTATGCAGTACTGAAAGATGCGTCTATATACATACACGATCCGTCCGAGCCCCCATTATACCCATACGGGTCAGACTGTGACAGAACCAACCTAGACAACCGGCTTGAATTTATTGCGTATACGCTCGCCGTAGAGGAAGAAGACGAATGGTATCGGAATAAGGGCAAATGAAATGAAAGCCAACAGGCTGTTTCCCCAACCTAAGCCTAGGGTTTCATACATCTGCAGGCCACCGAGTGGCAGGAGCGCTCCAGCAAGGGACCGCAGCACAGCCAATGCTGCTGTGACCGAGGCTGCATAACGCGGATAAGCGTCGAGAAGATAATTCTGAACGGACATCTATTCCAGTTAGGATTATGATTCACAGCATGTGGCTGGCCGAAGGACTCACCATAACACCCATTAGACCCGCGCTGAAGAGAAGCACGCCGAGCATTGGAACAATCCAGTGCACTGCCTTATCTGTTGTCCAGCCGTAGATGAACAGTCCGATTGGGAGTACGACACCGCAAGGGATAGTCAAAACGGGGGCAAGTCTGACCTCCGGCTTGTGTTCTACCCCTTTTGCTTGGCGACGTCGTACCATTAGATCTGTAAGCTGCCCAAAGGTCACTACGCCGATAGCCATTCCCAATCCAGCTGGTAGAAAGGCTAATCCTACAGTGCCCTCACCGAAGTGATATTGTTGGGGATAGACAAAAGAGAATGTGGTGAGGAGCAGGTATAAGATGCCGTAGGTGATAGCAACGTAGAGTGCCATCAGGGTGACAATTGGAGTCGTGAAGAGCAGCTTGAGAGGGCGGACAATGGCCAGCTGAAATTCATCTTTAGCACCATGCGTTTGGAGCTTGCTGCGCAGGGCCGGATTTCCGGTCTCTTTTCGAAGACGAGCAGCCCTGCGCTGAAGAATGAGAGGTGCAAAGGTCTCCTTGAGCGTAAAGAAGGCAACGAAAACACAAACACCGCCCTGCCATATGCGTCAATATTGATAACCATAGAGTACTGCATCTACACGTACCAGGATCACAATGAGCCAATAAACCCATCTCCATCCAGCAGCCTCAATTAAATAGCCGCCAGCAACAGGTCCGATACAAGGGCCCAACAAAGGGCCCAAAGCCCAGGCCGCCATGGCTCTGCCTCGTTTTTCAACCGGCATAACGTCAGCGATGGACCCTGATCCTATGGTGATTGGTACGGCTCCAGCCAAGCCCATCAGAAACCGGAAGGCCATAAGCATGCCGATGCTATTGCTGAGGGCGGCGCCGACAGTGAATACTGTGAAGCACAAGTTGCCGATATTGTAGAGAATGGATCGCCCGTAAAGCTCGCTGAGAGGAGCGATAATGAGAGGGCCGAAAGCAAAACCAAGGATATAAATCGACAATATAAAAGTTGCCGTAGTTGATGAACTTTGGTGAAATTCGGCCATGATCTTTGGAATTCCTGGTGCGAACATCGATGATCCCTGTAATAAAAAAAAAGTCAGACTCAGCCAAAGGCTTTGGAGCAATGAAGCCCTACCAGTGGACTAAAATTGTTAGCTGGAACAACCTAAACACAAATAACAGCGAAGACTTACGTGATAACGGTCAGAAACGATAGCACGCCAATGTTAATCCATTTCTTTCTCTCCGGCCAGTTCATTGGGTTTTCAGGGTCGTCAGGACCGTCCCAAAAGACGATGTTAGGATCATCCTGCTCAGCTGTCTCGGTTTTCGTGACGACTGCATCCTCCTCCGGCCCCGTGTCTTCAGCGGCGATGGTAGCGTCATCAAGATCTGAGACCGGCAGAGGATTGCCCTTTTCCAGGTCTGAAGACATGGAGTTCCGAGGTCGTGAAGGTTCGGCCATGGCTGAGGTTGTTATATCAGTGTTGAGGCTCGCTATAACTTGCCTACTGTGCTTGCCGGCGTCCACATCCGAATAGATTCAAGAAAGGCCTCTGGTGAGAAGTTGAGACGGAGACATCCGTGGTAAAACTGAGGAGGTGAAGTTATTATATCTAAGTCGGTGCGCCTTGTACCGGAAATCTATAGTGGTGTATCCGGGGATGTATGAATTGCATAAAATTATGCAAGTGGTGTCCCCGGCGTCCATTTTAGGTTAGGTAAGCCGTGGCCGGTAATGATATGGCGCGGAAATAGGAGAAACGACGCTGACCTTGCACGAATACGGCGCGGTTCCGTGTTCTGGTTGGCTTGCTGGCCAGGTTTGTTCTCGAGGCTCTGCATAAATGGGCGGAAAGTACCTGTTCCGCAATTCAACGCTACGCGAGACAAGCCTAACAAACAAGAGATCCAATTGCCAATTTGCCAAGCATTCGGATTGCATGCGAGCTCCAATCTCGGGGCGTTGTGAGAGTCCGGGGCATTGGGGCCAGACCACCACCAAGCGCTAGAGCTAAACTAAGCTAAGCTTTCAACGGGGCAAGCCACTGCTACCCTCGCTCTCGGAACCGCTTCTTATTTGACATGGTGCATTTTAATACATGTTGTGTAACTTCTCGAAAATACTAGAAGACAGGCATCTACCTTCATTTGCATCTGTCTTTGCTGCTCTCTCTTACGAAATCATAAACACCTTCATAAGGTCATTTGCTGCCAGAGCTTTTATTCAGACCTAGGCTTTGTTGCATCTCGATCGGGCCTTGGTCAGATTCACGAACGTCACGAAATTCCAAGGTAGGAATCGCTGCGTTGCTTCAATTTGAGGAGACAAAATCTGAGTCTTGTGAGCTACTTGGTGGAGACTGGGCAGTCAAGCACTTGTTCCAGCACAGATGTCAAAATAGGGTCAAGCGATTTAAGGAAGAGTCATTTGCATCCCAAAGTCATTGTCGAGTGATTTTCTTCAACAGCCTGACTCATCATCAAACATTTAGACCTATGGAAAGTTCAGCAGATATGAAGTAGAATAGACACAGGTAGGTTATTTAATCATATTTGGCTCAGATCACTCTGTCCAGGACACCATAAGATACACAATGAGACATTGTACCAGCGTCTCTCTTCGCAGTAACCAATTCAACACAGTAAAATGTTCTCAATCAATAGTTCTCTTTTTGACGCTCACTTGTAGGCTTTTCTGACAGGAACAAGTAACTGCTGTAGATCCTGTTAGTTAAGCCATACAACACACATCAGTTCCACGGTTCACAACACAATAAGGCTCCTTTAAGGCCATGCCTAGGGCCATTAGGTAGGTTATATATCATGATAATAGCATGTCTCCCCTAGCGACGAGTTTTTGCGAATGGCTGTAGGTGACTCGAAGTCATCGCATGGTCTACTTGGAGCAGGTTGAGTTACAAGGTCGAATCTCGAATAATACTTGAATTTATCAAGATGTATGATGCTACTATACGAGTCGTATCAGAGTCTAAGCCCTTGTGAAGCACCGCCTGTATATCAGAAGAGACTGTTACAATTGGTACCGAGGATGCGGGGCCAATAACGTCAATGTTGAATAAAAAGGTATTATTAAAAATTAATTTATGATTAGTAGTATGATTTTAGCTTCGTAAATCGTTCAATCCCAGTTTCAATCTCATTCTGAGCCTGCTGCCCTTTCGTTCTGCTCTTTTCACCATTTATAACCTTGTCCCGACGCCTAAAATGCCAAGATGCATATAACCTTTGACCGTTTCGAACTCTTCCAAGTTCAATATGAAGTTGAAATGTGTGTGAAAAATGATGTCTCTACATTTTCCCTCTTGAGCCCTTGCTCCTGAAACATCTTGTAGTCGCCACGATGGAAGACCCAAGGATCATAACCGCTCCTCCCCAAACTTGCGCCCAGAGGTATCTGCCGCCATTGGCATCCAAAAGAGCGCCCATGGTCGGCGGACCTGCCAGCGTTGCCAAACCACATATAGCGAAGACCATACCCAGGCGAGTGCCTAGCAAGTGGACATCTTCAACGAGACTGCTGATCGCGCCAGGAAATACACCCTGGGCGGCGCCGTTGCAGAATCCCATCACCGCCGAGTACACCAGCATGCCGGCACGGTCACGTACTCCAATAAGTGCAAAGATCATGATTGATAGGAACATCGTGCCGCCATTCCATGTATTAACCGGCCCAAAGTATCGGTCTGCCATGAAGCCGGCCAGAGGACGGGAGATGAGAGCCGCGGCATTGGATACAAGGAGGACTTGGGCTGAGTCGACATCACTGAAGCCAACAACAGTGCGAGCGTATGAATTGATCTGGTCGTGCATGTCAGTGTCTACCTAGATGCTGGGGACACCATGGGGCCATAGGAGATATGCTTACATATATCACGACAGTGAAGAGCGAGTAGTAAATCAGAAAACTGCCAGTTGTGAAAATGACAAAGGGCCGGTCTTTGAAGAATGTCCAGTCGACGAAGCTGGCCGATTTTCGCGGCGGCAACCGTGGGCGTGCCAGGGCGTTGGCAATTGTGGCCAGGAACAGGGAGATCAGACCGCAGGCTCGCACAGCCCACTGGAATCCGATTTGCGGAATCAAGTATTGAAGAGCGGCCGTATATACCATAGCTCCAACCCCAGTGCCACAAGCAGATATGCTCATAGCCAAAGCACGCTTTTTCTTGAAATCAGACCCGATGATGGTCGCCGTGGGCATAGCCATTAGGCCGCCACCAATGCCAGTACAAACACCTTGGGTGAGGATAAGTTGCCAGTATTGCGTGCTCACGCTAGTCATAAAGACACCGAAGACACAGAGGACAGAACCACCGAAGATGCAATGCCGTGCTAGGCCGGCGTCCGCTAGGCGGCCGGATACGGTACCCATAATGAACATGAGAAAGAGCTGGATGGAGCCGATCCAAGAGATTTGAGCGGCAGGCCAGTCTGTCGTCTGTTTGTAGTAGAGCTGGAAAACACCGAAGGCATTTGCATATCCCCAGACCATTATATTTGCAAGATGTCCCATGAGGACTTGAGACCAGGCGATCCAACCGCCATCAGGGGGCTCGCTTTTAAGGGACGATGGACGTGAGGACTGGTCCTCGAGATCACTGGCGGGAGCTACCTCGTCATTTTGTGGTCTATTAATGTTTGCCGGCTCGAAAGCCTTCTCTGATAGCCCTTCCCGAATCTCCTGCATGATAATATGTGTATTGAGACTTGTCTATCCATAGAAGGAAAGCTAATAAAGAGTTAAAATAGGGTAACGAGAGTACAGCTGGGGTGTCTAACACTCCAAGCAATGAAAAGTGAATAACAGAGACTGCTACAGCATAGTAAAGGAGTCAAATCACAACTAAATGCAACACTTGTTCCATTCTTAAGTATTAACGTGTTCTGGAACAGTCATAAAATTTCTTTTGATCCGACATCGCAAGATCGCTGCGAAGCCATTCCAAAGACGTTAATGGTACCGGCCCCGGGTCACGTCAACCGGTTTAGGGGCCGCTGGGACTGAAACTTGTCATATACAAGGCGCCTGGCCAGACCCCGACTTCATGGAGTTTCTCGGTCTGACTGGGCCCAGCTGCGAAAGACTTTTGGAGCTCAATGGCCCGACAACCTGGCGGTGAGACAGAGAGGCGTACGACTCGAAGAACTTTTTTTCGCTCCCAACTGCCTCTTCACGAACTAAATGCTAGCAAAACTCTGCACTCGATCATGCAACCATGTCACGTTGCTCCGGTCTGCCTCCGGTCCGGTTCCCCACAGTGGAGACCGAAGGGAGGTCTCGACCGAATCGGAGCCCCTAAACGCGGTCCGTGGCTCTCTGTCCAGGACCGGCTCGCCTGAATAAGCTTACTGTCCCACTTGTTCGGCTTCGGAACCGGAGTGAGGTGGAGCTCCTCGCCGAAGTACCTTCCCGTCGAGTTCAAAGAGTCAGAGACTCATATTGAGATAGCCCTTATAGGATCGAGAGGGGCAACGACTGCCGGCTAGTGTTCCGGTCACAGAGGATCTCGATGTAAAGATGCAAACATTACATTGCAAAAGGCACCTATCAAAGGAGAGAATGGTCATCAAGAACACCTCCGATGATTCAGAGGCTTGCCATCGGGTTGTAGCACTAATGCGTGTGTAGGTGCATTGGTCGGCGCGTACTACAGTACATACACTGCTCAGAGGTCACCCAGCTCCGGCTTTGAGTCCTCCTCCTCATCAACGTAGTCTGCTAGTCTCTCAATCAGATCCTCAACCTCGATTTCCCCATCATTCTCCTCTTCCTTGTGGTGCTTGTGCGGCGGGATCGGCACACGTCCAACCACTTGGATGACACCGTTCTTCGCAATGCCGTCCTGCAGGACAACCGGCACCCAGCCATTGAGCTTGATCTTCGTGAATCCTCCCCACTTCGTCACGTCAACTGCGATGTTCTTGCCGCCCAACAGCGAAGGGAGGTCGATGTGATAATGCTTAGAGGTATCCACCTCCGCTTCTCCCTCCGACTCGTAGATTGCATCGCTGTACAGTGTCGTATTGGCAACAATCTGATACTTAAGAAGAGCGGTCAAGAATTTTAGGCCCTTCTCGGTGTTGAAAAGGAAGGCATTGGCACGTGGCCCCAGCTTGCTAAAAGCATCATTGCTTGGTGCAAACACGGTGCTGCCAGTGATTTTGACGCCGTGGATAAACTTGACGAAATCCGTCTTCTCGTACGCCAGGAGAAGCGTTGAGAACTCGCTTGGCAGCAGACTGAGCTCACGACCAACCGGTGGAGGTGGGACGAGGATGCTCTTCACTGCATGAATGACACCGTTCTTAGCCCCCTATATAGTTCCGTATCAGCATATCAGGCTCCACATGACAGAAGTAGGTGATGTTTCTGATACTTACCACATTTGCAACGACAACCTTGCTGTAAAAGTTTACGCGAATCCCCGACAGCAAGCCAACGCTCGTTCGGAGGCGCTGGGGCTTGTCACCGAGCCAGCTCTCATTCAAGGCCGTCGGTAAGGTGTGTGTCTTCAAGATGCGGCCAGCAGGGTATAGTCCTAGACCAATGTGATATTTGAGCACACTCTCCACAAATTCCTTGCTTGGCTTTTTGTCATCGGGGATGTGCTCAAATGCCGAGTCAACAGGCACAAATAACGTGTAGTTAGCCGTCGTGCTGTTGAGAAGGTCGACAATGTCGTCGTATTCATTGACGAGCTCCACAAACTTCTTTGTATGGTTGCTCTTGGAGATGATCTCATATATGGTTAAGTTGAAGCTATGGTGGTGGTGGCCATGCTTGGGCCGGTCTGCAATCTCAATATCAATGGTGTCATCATCCTCGTCCTCCTCATTGACGAAAGCCTGCTCGAAACCATCTCGGAACTTCCGGTCAATGGATTCAACAAAGGTCTCGACCCCTGCAGACAAGGAATCGATGCCATCCTCGAGAGTTGAAACAATAGAGTCCTTGGTTGGGATTTTGTCCCACCATGAAGCATCATCAGCTCGATGGTCTTCGATGGCGACCTGGCTGAACACCTCAGGTTCAGGGAGCACGAACGCAGCGGCCAAGGCCGTAAGAGGGAGGATGCCAGCAACCTTCATGATGATGAACCCTTGTTTGGAAGAGGGAAGAGGTGAAAATGAATGATATGAGAGAATCGAGAAGGTGAAAGAAAAATGGTCTCGAATATGAGACGTTTGATGGAAGGCGTCAGCTGACGTCAATGCGATCAAGGCGAGAAATGGTGCAACAGCTCCCCGCTTCTTCCGGGCCAATTGAGCGTAGCTAAACCTTCGTAGGCTCTAGCCTAATGGCTGCCAAGTGCCCACAACGTGATAGTTACGCGTATTCCTAAGACTCCAATCCGCGGCGAGCAGGCTGATGAGCGATGGGTGATGATGATGAGACCATCGTCCCTCCAGGCAAAATGGTGGCATGCGTCATGACGAACGCGCGGTGGCCGTCGGAGGTCGGATCCTTCAAGACGCCGCGGGGGTCTCACCTCCCACCAAACCCCGCTGACGCCGACCATTCCAGCCGGGGTAAACGAGCACTTCTCCGCGATTCTTGATCCCAGTCAATCTGCATCCTATCTGTACGATCTGACTGAGACGCTGCTACAGTATCTGAATTGGGATCTATGAGTGTGGTGGACCTGTATGAGGTGGCCTGAGGATATCGTTGCAGTGCCTGTCCCAGCTCTCTGGTAAAGTCGGGGCCGCCCGGCTCGGACTTATCTACCTAACTAGACAGTGGATTTCAATAGTGCCCAGGGGTTTGTCGGCTTGCCGCAAATAGGTAATTAGCTGTATGGAAACCGGCAATGACACCTAGCTAGCGCTGCTAATCACTAGCCAGAGAGGAGTATCTTATGAACCTGAATTTATGCCACTCCTTGGCCCCGTGAAAAGCAGGAGCAGCCTTATAGAGCAACGGTCTAGAAGAGGTGGCGCACCCTCGCGGACAATCCGCGTTGATATCGATCATATTTGGGGCCAATCTGAATCCTACACACACCTCACCCTGCGGGGTATCTCGTAAGATATAGTCTGGCATTTAGATCTGCGAAGAAGCAGTCGCGACCTACCTCATTTGCACTATCTTCTTCCTAGAAAGAGCGTCTCGATACATGTTGTGCCCGTCAATTTACTCTAGTTTCTAAGCGGTACGGAGCATCCTGCTGTGATGAGTTATACATCTGCTTCGTTCTGACAACTCAACCAAACTCGCGTTACTTACCGGAAAAAAAGTCCAATTGTGGCCACATCGACCGGTGCTTCCATCCAGCCTTGACTCTCTGTTGTTTTGGGTCCAAAATTGTGTGTCTTTAAGGAAAGGCGTTGGTCATTGTTAACATTGCTTTCAATGATAAGACCTGAGCCAAGGGGCCAAACTTTTCGGGGATGCAGCCGGCCGCACTAGTGGTCTTAAGGCAGCCAGGCAAGCTGAGCAATGCCATTTCTCAAGACATGAAATGGTGGTAGACTCGCATTAAGCAACCCGTTAGGTTGCGTTATTTTCTTTTTGCGAGTGATGGTGGTTGCACACCTTCCCTAAGCGACATGGCCTCGCTTACTGGGCACGCCTTACGCCTGCAGTGTGGCTGCTCCTTTGGCTCAATCTTGCGGCGGGCAGTGACCACCGTCCTCTCCAACTGTCTGCTTGTGAGATTTCACAACATATGAGGCGGGCGTTATCGTGACATTCTTGAAGAGCTTCACCGAGGAGGGCTGGCTTGAACGGCCCTGGGCGTCATGACATGAGAGGCGTCTGTAGCCTTTCTTCTTCGCCAACTCTGGTCCTCTCATATTGCTTCTTGTCATGCAGTGTTCTGCGGCGTCCTGTCAGATCTACAGGCTTGGAGGATTGCCTACTCCTCGTCCAAGATCTCACCCGGAGTTCCGGTCAGCCTCTGCCTCCTTCATTCAAGCCAAAGATCTGGGCATAGCTCATATAAAATTCAAACATGTATCGGCAACATCCGGGAGAAAGAACCATACTTCTCGTGGAAAGCATATAGACTCGACAAGTATTGTCTTATTTGTGGAGCGAAAGCAATAGAGCTAGGATGGTGGCATTGGAACGGCACCCCTGATAGCTGCAGTAGCTGCAGGAACATTTGACCCGACAAAATCAACCACTGCGGCCAGATGTCATGCAGACTTTTTGACTAACTGCTGCAGGGGATTCTGGAAGCGTGTCTCGAGCGTGTAATGATACCTCCAGGGCGTGGGGGATTTCGCATTGAAATGCAAGCATATCTACGGTTCAGCCACACTGATATCGAGACAGCCTTCGTCCCCCCAATTGTCCAGCACAAACGGGGATGCAGCTTGCTCAGAGTTCCTCCTGCATTCTTTTTCAACGCCTCGCCAGTTTCAAGAGCCCGCCGTAGATATTCAAGAGTGGGCCCGCCTTGCGCCCAGCCTAGAGCTACGAACCGCCCCCAGGATGTTCTAATAGACCCCAATCTACATGTGGCCCACGACAAAAGTAGATAATCGACCCACCTCGGCCTGTCCAACCTAGAGACTGAGAGAGGTGTCAGGCTGGGCAACCGAGACGAAAAGTGAAAATGCTCTCGAGGGTCTATTTATGAGCATAGTATCCTGTTTCGCTCGACATCGCCGCTCTTCAGGCCCACACGAGGGTCGCCATTTCCGGCATTATGATGGACCCAGCTGTAGCTGCTGCTATTGCAGCTGGTCGTGTTCCTGACACAGTCAGTGCCGACTATCTCAACGAGAGCCGCGATCAGTCCGCGATTGCTGCCATCATATTCGTTGGCGTCTTCACTTCCCTCGTTGTCTTTGCGAGGACTGTGTCTCGGGCATGTCTATTCAAACACTACGGTTTTGATGATGCCCTCGCCCTCTTCGGCCTGGTGAGTTGTCTTCTTTCGACGCTCTAGAGTTATCCAAAAATTAATGATGTATCATTGGCTAGATCTTGCTTATCCCGTTCATCGTCCTATGTGTTATCCTCATCAAGATCGGCTCAGGTCGTCACTACGAATATATCCAATATGTAATGACCTTGGATGTGGTCGAGGATAGCGAAGTCCTCGACTTTGCAGCGCACCTCATATATACGAGCTCGCTTCTTTTCTGTCGATTCTCGGGACTGGCCTTCTATCACCGGATCTGCAATTTGCATGACAGGTTTCTGATCGCAATCAAGGTGACTGCGGGCGTTCTAGTTGCGGGATATCTGCCCCAAATGTTCCTTATCATCTTCCACTGCCTTCCAGTGACGGGACTGTGGCCTTATGACTGGCAACCGCACGCGGAAAAGTTCACTTGTATCACCTGGGGTATCATATACAGCGTGAACTCCGCCGTGTCTCTGTTCTGCGATTGTCTGTTGTTTGGCATCCCTATCGCGATGCTTAAAATTCTAGACATGCCGCGGAAGAGGAAGGTGCAGTTGGCCTGTATCCTATTGCCTGGTATCTCGTGAGTTGGCCTTTCTGGTTTCTTATGGTCTTCGTTCAGTCAAGGCTAATTTCGACCCAACAGAGTTATCGCCATCTCCATCACACGCCTCATCTTCGTGATCCAGGGCCAATGGGAGCCAGACATGAGCTGGTCCTATAATCCCATGCTTGCTATAGAGGTCTCTGAGATTGGGGCTACCCTAATCGCACTCTCGGTGCCTGGAATTAAACCACTGTTTGACAAGTTTGTCCTACGGAAGGGTCCCACCACGACCTCGTCTGGATCTGACTTCAACAGCGGGGGAAGCCGCTCCAGGAAGAACACGCTGCGCCGCACCGGCCATAGTGTCCTCGCGAGCAACGAGAATATCAGAAGCACAAGCCAGTTCGAAATGGCGCCAGCTCGCAGGAGCGACACCCGGACGGCGAGCAGCACGGAGGGTATTCTCGTGCGTGTGGATGTGGACATGAAAAAGGACAGGGGGGATGTCCAAGACTACATTAGAAACCAGTATGGTAAGTTTTGAGGGAGGGACGGAACACACGGCGTTATTATGGAAGGGATGGATTGAATTGATGGCGGAATACAAGGATGGATTGGCAGGGGCCTTGAGCCAGGAATACCCAGGGTCAGCACAGGAATACGGGGGCAATTGGAAAGCCTAGGAGTCTCTTTGTTCAATGCGTGTACTCTACCACAGACAACAATGCGATTGTTACTTGCCAGGTCACAGCCACCGATCGTGATTACTGCGTGAAAACAAGTTCCACGGCTTCAATTCCGCCCTTCGATTAAGTTCAACTTACTGCGCAGTAGCGCTGATCCGGAACGAGGGGTCCTGGCATCCGAATACCGTGTTGACGATTCTTCAGGTGCAGTAGTCTTGCTTCTAGCGAAGTTGATCGACCGAGTGGAACAGACTCAGACTAAGTGCGGCCACCATGTCCCACTACGGCTTAATGATTATCTAGCCCCTGGACGGGATGACAAACAGTAATGTGGAGGAGCGCCGACGTTTATCTTGCGCCAAATCGCGCCGCTCCGTCATCCGTGGCGCGTCCACAGCAGCCACGCCCAAGCTGGTGACAGGCTTTGAACACCTACCACTCCAAAGGCAAACACAGTCGAGCCGGTGTATGTTCAGTATAGACCTATGACACGGGAAACACAGCATCTGGGAGGGTGGTCAGGGCCCAGAGCCATGGGACAAAAGTCAAAGGACAGAGAGGGTGAAGAGCCAATTAACTGGGTTGGTTGCCAACAGAGTTAACAGAGAGATTTTGTGTTACTGTACTGTAATTCATTCAACCCACGCTTATCCCGTGGCCCCTCCCGCGCGCCACACCCAAGAAGCTACTGCAAGCCAATATTGGATTGATGATAATCCCGCAATCAATCGCTTACTTGCTCTTTCTAGTTTCCCCTCCGAGCCCCTGGGAGGCCCGCGGCTGCAGGCACGAATCCCACCTGCAGCAGTAACGAAATCAAGGCTCGCAAGGATGCAGGTCAGTAGTGTGAAGAGGCGCATTGCATGTCGCCCAGTAACGATAAGGTAATAAGGCCCGCATTCCCAGTCAAGCGGCCATACATGGTAGACTGGATGCTAGAAGCTGCACTGTACATCATCAACCCGCCCCGTCCTTTCTTTCTGCTGTGCGTGCGGGAGGGTAACCCAGCGGAGGATTCCTGCTCATCCAAGGTTGCTGCCAGTAAGTAAGTAGCAGTCTCTGGATCTTGGCTCTGTTCTGTGCCGTCCTTCGTTCCCGTTCCACATACAGACACAGCACGTGCATTGTCTCACCTGCGTGTGAAGGAAAGTCGCGATGCTTTCCCACAGGCTTTGTTCTGTTCTTTCCGTCTTGGGCGTTGCGGTCGTGGGGATCCGGGCTCAGCAGTATGGGGTCGAGCAAACTCCATCGCTCTTCCCGTTGCAGGACAAGGCCGACACGGTGGACCTCTTTCCCATGCCGCCGTGTGGCAGCTTCCAGCTCGAGGAGGCCACCATCGACCAAATGCAGGAGGCGATGGCCAACGGCACCCTGACATCACAGCAATTGGTCCTGTGCTACCTGGTCAGAACATACCAAACAGAGGATTACATCAAGTGAGTCTGACCTGAGTCCTCGTCGTCCTGGAGAGTATGCCAACACCTTGCTCAGCTCCGTGCTTCAAGTCAATCCTGATGTAATGTACATCGCTGGCCAGATGGACGCCGAGCGTGCCGCAGGCAAGGTTCGCGGCCCGTTACATGGCATTCCGTTCACTGTCAAAGACAACATCGCCAGCAAAGACAATCTAGAGACGACCGCGGGTAGCTGGGCATTAGTCGGGAGTATCGTGCCTCGAGACGCCCATGTGGTTGCGAAGCTCCGTGAGGCCGGCGCGGTCCTCTTTGGCAAAGCAACACTGAGTGAGTGGGCCGACATGCGCAGCAACGACTATTCAGAAGGCTATTCCGGACGCGGTGGACAGTGCCGAAGTGCTTATAACCTGACCCTCAATCCCGGTGGCAGCAGCTCCGGTAGTGCGGTCGGTGTCGGTGCAAATGCTATTGCCTTCTCGCTCGGAACCGAGACTGACGGTAGTGGTAAGTTGAATTGCATGTTTCAAGCGAAAGCGAGTTCCAATAGCTGATCCTCGAAGTGATCAACCCTGCCATGCGAAATGCCATCATTGGTATCAAGCCTACTGTCGGCTTGACATCAAGAGCTGGGTAAGTTACGTATCTCTAGTTCGGCCTATTTTAAATCTAACTCTCTTAGTGTGATTCCTGAGAGTGAGCACCAGGACTCTGTTGGTGCTTTCGGACGTACTGTCCGAGACGCTGTCTACGCTCTTGATGCCATTTACGGTATTGATCCTCGTGACAACTACACTTTAGCTCAGGAGGGAAAGACGCCAGAGGGTGGCTATACCCAATTCCTCAGCACTAAGGACGCACTGAAAGGCGCCACCTTCGGTATTCCCTGGAAAAGCTTCTGGGTCTACGCCGATGAGGAGCAACAACGTGTCTTGAAGGCTCTCATCTGTCTCATCAGAGCGGCAGGTGCTACTATTATCAACGGCACTGAAATTGCCGGATATGAAACTATCGTCAGCCCAGACGGCTGGAATTGGGATTATGGCTCTACGCGTGGATTCGCCAATGAGTCGGAATATACCGTAGTCAAAGTCGACTTCTACAACAACATCAGAGATTATCTTGCTGAGCTGGAGAACACGAATATTCGGTCGCTTGAGGACATTGTGCAGTACAATTACGATAATGACGGCTCTGAGGGCGGCTACCCATATCCGGGAGCCGGAAACCCGGCTTTCGCCTCTGGACAAGACGGGTTTCTTGCTTCTCTTGAGACCAAGGGCGTTCGGGATGAGATCTATTACCAAGCTCTTAACTTTACACAAACAACTACTCGCACGGGCATCGATTCTGCTCTATCACGGAACGGAGGCAAACTCTCTGGACTGCTTGTTCCTCCTGACGTTGGGCAGAGCTATCAGATTGCCGCGCAGGCAGGTTATCCTATGATCACTCTTCCAGCCGGATATCATTCAGTTGGAGGCATGCCGTTCAGCCTGGGTATCATGCAAACGGCATGGGGTGAAGCAGAGTTGGTGAAGTGGGGCAGCGCCATTGAAGATCTGCAATTATCATCGGATATTCCTTATAAGCGCCAGTTGCCGAAATGGTACGGCTACTTGCAGAGGAATATTCCTGTGCCGTTCTTCCCTTAATGCGGGAATGAATTTTTGGATACCTATTCTACAATACTAACTTAATATTAATGCTATCTGTAGCTTGTACATAGCAAATAGAGTGGTCCAGCATTGACAGTCTCTTGTCCTCATGATGTCAGTCGATGATTTAACATAGATTTAGAGACACTCTTCAGTCGGCCGTCAAGAGAAGTTACAAATTTCCTAATGAGCTGTGTGCTATTTAGTCTTCGTAATGGCACTTCAATGCCATTTTGCGATGCTGCGTGATCGAGCTGCGAGCATTGTTTTCGCAACGGGGATGATGTGATCCATGATGTCATGTTGAACTGATACCATGATAAGATGCGGAGATACTGGTGCAACTCGATCGACCGACATTCCTTATTCACAACTACACCGTCAATTCGGCAGCAGGCTCTGCGGAATTTATCTTCTACTTCAAAATTTGCTGGTTGCAGATTTCAGATACCATGGCGACATTTAAAGTGCTGACAACCGCAGCCATTTGCGGCGCAGCTTTTTATCTGCCGCTCCCCACGACTGTGTCCTCACCTACAGTGGGCATCCCCGCAGAGCCGTCCACGATTGGTGCCATACCGCAACTTGGTCTAGGGACATGGCTCTCGGACAGAGATAAGGCTTGTTTCCCATCACAATGTGTTGAGAGCCGTGATTGACGTTTATCAGGTTGCTCATGCCGCCGAGTACGCCCTTGAAAATGGATACGTTCATATTGACGCAGCATGGATCTACCGTAAGTAGCTACACACGGGTAGTAATCGCTAGTCGAGGCATGTAAACTTAACACGCAAGTAGGCAATGAGGATCAAACTGGCAAAGGCATTGCAGCTTCCGGTGTCTCTCGGAAGGATATCTGGGTGACGAGCAAGTTGTGGAACGCACATCATCGGCCAGCAGAAGCAGAGAAAGCTATCAAGCAGTCGATTTCGAACTTGGGTGTGGATTACCTGGACCTATTTCTCATTCACTGGCCGGTAGCATTCGTTCCAGACGAGGATACCAAGCTGGACAAGGACACCAGTATTGTCGACACCTGGAGAACACTGGAAGACTTCGTGCGCTCGAACTTGACTCGTCACATTGGAATATCCAATTTCGCCAAGAAGGATGTCGAGGAGATCTTGGATGCCTGCGATATCTGTCCATACGCCCACGAGTTTGAAACTCATCCTTACCTACAACAGCAAGGCTTTGTCGATTGGCACCTCAAGATGGGGATGAAGGTCATTGCTTACTCTCCTCTAGCGAACACAAATCCAACTTATCACAAAGACTTGTCACCAATCATGGATGACCCCTTCTGGAAGGATCTCGCAGCCACCAAGAATGCTACTGTTGCCCAGGCTGTAATAGCATGGGGTTTGCAGCGAGGCACGATCGTGATTCCGAAGAGCGTCCACGAGAAATACATCAAGGAGAATCAGGGTGCACTTGATATTAGCTTTACAGAGACTGAAATGAAACTCATTGCGACGCAAGACAAGAAGACAAGGATGAACAATCCAGGAAAAGGATGGGGTGTGGAGCTCTTTGCAGACTTGGATGATCCTACGAGGCTGGATGGGGAGCTGGAGCTATAACGATGACTCTGAGAGCCGTTCGCATCGACGGACTTGCTTCACACGAGCATCTATTTCGCAAGAGCCTTTATCCTATTTTATAGATGCACTGTATATTTAGTCTAATGTGTGCTTATGAGAGACATCTCTTCGGCCGATTTGGTGAAATCGACTCGATTTGTGGCTCGCCTCACAGGGCATATCCGTCCCTATGCTTGTATGCTCCGAACCGAGAGTCTAGGTGCATCGCCGGGAAGCACGGCTGCAAAATGATCACAAAGGTCGTCGATTGGAAAATTTCCGTGAGTTTTAAGGTTCGGGAACTTCGCAATTAGACTCGCTAGACAAAGATACATGGTAGTCAAAGCCAGGCTGTTTGTTCTATTGTTAATTGAAGTTCATAATCTCGATGGGGTTTCTTCCACTCACTCCTTGCCAATGCACTGGCGGCTATCCTTCCCAAACGACATGAGAAACCTGTTCATGTACTTGGCTCGTTCCGGATCAAGCCAGCGGTCAGGATTGAACTTGTCGTGGTCATCGCCCCAGATGTCAGGGTTATGATGTTGCACGTAAGCCCACACACCCACAACGGTCTATGAAAGGATGAGCATAAGTTCGTATTAGATTAAACAAGAAACGGGCATGAGGCTTACACCAGCTGGTAGCACATGGCCATGAAACTTCTCGCCTGGTGTCGGTACAACACGAGGCAGCCGGCCGATCGGACCATACCCCATGCGAAGCCCTTCATTGATACATGCGGACTATTCTCATTAGCTATGCTTTTGCGAGACAGAAGCCAAATAATTACCAGATAAGGTAATTTCAAGATCTCAGATGGCTCGACCGTTTCTATGGGATCCGAAACTAATTGTAATATATCGGATCGTAACCGGTTGTAGATAGTCTTCTGGGAAAGTATATGGTGTAAATTTACGGACATGGTCATGCCAAAGTTGAAGATAGCTGCTAGATTGAAACTGTAAATCTCGTCAATGACGACATCTCTTGAGAGAGGCTTCTCTAGTCTGGGATCTGTGTTCTTTCTCCGAGTCAATAGTCGATCGACGACAGATCCAGATCGATGATGAGGCTTCGGCGTCATGTTTGATCGTTTCTGATAGTCCGAGCAGCTGTCAACAGCATCGGCTGACATCTTATTCCATTCATTAGCACTAACTTGTGAGATAGATTTAATATCTCACCTGCATGAGTTCATCATACTCGGACGACATAGATGGGAATCTAGCCATCACAAGCAAGACTAGGTTCAACACATCATAGACGAAATTGTTAATCGTCATCAGCCATATACCGCCGGCTTTTCTGAGAACATTGGAAGCGTATTGAGTGGCATACGGTCGATTATGAAGCGTATTTCGGCACTCTGGCACAGTATGTTCTGAGACGACATCGATCATCAAGGCATGAAAGAGTCCTTGGATAGGGGCTGACCCTGTAGCCTTCAACTCTTCGTCCGCCTTCTGACATAGCAGATGAACCTTCCCTTGTATCATGCCTCTCAATGCCGAAATGCTAGATTTCGAAAAGAACTCGTTCCATGGGCCCCGAAGCTCTCGATGATGATCATTGTCATATGCTCCAAACATGCCGTAATGAATTCCCATGGTCCGGTAAAAGACAGGGTCTTTGGTGTACTTCGATCGGATATTGTAGATCTTTTCGAAAGCACTTGGGTCGCTCAAAGAGACTTCGTTTGGCGATATCCGAACGATCGGGCCGAATTGACGATGCATTTCGCTGACCTTTCGATAATATTGACTTCGTCCATTGCGGTAGCACCAGTAGACATGGTACAGCCTTGTCATACCTGCGATTTTGTAGCCAGGAACGCCCGCCAGCGGATGTAGGAATACATTATACAATACAAGCAGTATCTGATACGTCGTGAATACGACAAGAAGCCCTAATATCACTTGAAAGAACATCCCCGGCGAAAATAAAAAGTCCAGCCTTAATAGTCGCATCGTGAATATCGTGAAGAATTAATGGGTACAAAACAAGTTTGGAACCAATTCAATGCTTTTATGAAATCTACTTTATACCTAAACCAAAGGACCGAGATGCTGATCTCACCAAAGGCAACAGTAAGATTCCGTCTCAAGTCGCAGCATGCGCGTGGACATGCAGTCACAGCAATCCTCCAGTGGACTTTACAGCCTCGTGTAAAGCCATATTTGGCCACATAGTGGCTTTGAAAGGATTCCATAACAGTACAGGGGCAAGTAGACTGGCCTTGAATTGGCGGGTTTAACTTCGGGTTTAGATGAGCTTCGTCAGTACATGTTATGCGACACCAACAATACTGAGCCAATCTAAAAGATGCCGCACTTGATGCCGAAACGAGGCGTAGGCAAGGTGGACTTTGATCCTTTGATCATATGATTGATGTGGCTTCGTTTGAGTTCTGCTGACTGCATGGGATGTGCATGTACTAAGATAAGGAAACTAGCCCTATGCTGGCCTTATAAGAGTTGTAAGCCTAAACGAGCTGCCGTTGTCGTACAGGGCTGTGTTGCGGAGTATCTGCCGCCGCGCTTAAATGTATGACGCGATGGCTCAATACTACTTCACATAGCGACCAAATGCTATAATAGCTTCCAGAATGCTACGTCGCCAGTTGTCACGTCGGACTCATATGCAGTCGGATAGTAGGTAGTCAACTTTGCATAATTCTTACTGGCCAACGCTGCCGCTTACACGCACGACGAAGGGCAGGTGGATCAACAAGCTGAAGGCTCCCGTTGGGGGCCGGATACGAGGTGTTGGGCAGATGAATACCAATTTGGCCGAGCGCGAGCGCGAGCTTCCTGGTAACTTCCTCTCGTCTAGCTGTGGAAATAGGCAACTCCCACGACAGACGCTTTCGTGATTACTTCAACCTTGTAGTGCTGCCCCCACTTGATGATATCACTGAGCATCACAACGACTTATACGGGGTCACCTCATGATAACAAGTTGCAACTACCCGCATTCTAACTCCCTATGACCGGTAACAATGTGGATCATTTTATAGGGCGTCTCTCTGAGTGGCCGTATGACAAAGCAATCTGCCACTTTGTGGTATATCTGCGTGCAAGTATATGGGAGGCAAGTGTCTTTGGCTGACGTGTCGTTTCTTGGGGCAGTCCGGAGAACCCCATCCAATAGGAATGATATTATTTGTCACGCTGTGAATATTTTGAAGATCTGTTTGTATCTTCCCATTGCACTGGCACCTTCGGCCATGATAGACGCAGCATATGGGAGGAGGGCAAGGATCAGGTCCAAGTCACCTTCCAGGCGTGCCGTGTAGCCGCACGTGTGGAAAGGTGATTGGTATCGGCGCTCTGGCCATTTTGCATCCATTTGTGATTTCGTATTAGTTCTAATCATCGCTATCTGGCCATTGGTCTTGTAGGTCTTCTAGAGAAGCTCCAGCGGCTAACCTTGCCATATTGAGCCTCACGCTTAGACGGATGTACGGCGCTCCGGTCTTGCGGGCATATCCTCCACCAAGGCCCGAAATATCAGAATTACCTGGTTTCAATAGATGATGGCTGAAGATGGGTGGCTGAATCGTCAGACATACAGGATCACTGATATCGGGGCCCTCCTTCGTTCCATCTTGATAAAGGCCATCGCACCAGTCTCTCAGCATCAAATCCCAGCCTGTCGTGAAAGTCTCGAGCCCAAATCGCCAAAGAAGCTTGCGTGCTGCTTGTTGGCTAACTGCGTATGCTAATGTACATACCGTGCCATTTGATGCGTGCACGACTCGAGTGTGCGGGGGATACTCGTCACCCAGGGAGTCGAGAGGTGCAAATGGATGGGGCCTTAGATGCTCTGGAGCTGGAACAGTGTCGTCGCTTGGGATCACTATTCGTATAGGAGATGTCTTCCTGTTACCCGTTGGCACTGTAGATGCTGAAGTATCTGACGAGTCAAGGGCCAAACGACTGGGGAAGTTCGTTCCGCAATGGCCAAGCCAGAGAACATCCCAACCACCTCCGTACGAAGTCTCGCGCGTCCTCAGTGGGTCAGAACCATGGATCTGTTGGGGCTTCTCGCCACTGTTCGGTGCCTTCTTTTGTTCATACTGAGGTTCTTCTTGTCTTGGCCGTGGGGTCTCTAATGGTCTATCGACCTCTCCCGTAGTCGGAGTCAATCCTTGTAGGCTCTCCTGAAAGTATTGACGAGACGCATGAGCGAACGTGGCTACTTGACTCTTTAATCTTATATCCCAATCCACATCGTCTTCGAGAATTAGTGCAGTGCTTAGTCTTTGCTCGACAACACTTAAAACATATTTATTAGTTGGCTGGGCGCATTTGGTGGGAAGTTACAACATACCTTCTAAGCGCATGCATATGGGCTCTCCATGAGCCCTTGTTTCCTTTACTGATGTTCTTTCCTAATGTATCTTCTGGAAAGACTTTTTCTTCGATTTGGTCACCGGCTATGCCATCAATCCAGGAAAAATCCAGACCTGTCAGCTCTCCTGCTAGCGTCATTGCATCTCGACGGTCTGTTCGCGAAGGTAGATTAATGACAAGCAATTTTTGAAACTACAAAGATGGCCCAGAGTCAGCGCAAAGCTCTGAATGTCTGAACCAGATAGATTTCTCACCCCGAGGGTTCTGTTCATCGTAGCATGCGATGATGTACTCGATTCCGACCAGCTGGAGTGGCGTAGGATCGGCTCGTCAGGGAAAACCACGAGATTAAAGGCATAGAAGACGATGACCAGAATGAACACGAGAAAAGGGAGTATGCGAAGTGAAAGGAGCATCCTGGCGGTTCGAAGGAAGACTCAAAGCCCTCGCTCGAGCATTCACGTGGAGCGCCCGTCAACAACGCCTCGTGCTTGCTTTGAAGTTTGAAGATCTGGGATTGGCGCGTTTTTGTTTCACATCTGAAAGACAAGCTTTTTATATTGCCCTATGCGGTCAACATAACAAATGCAACCTTTTGTGCCGTAACCCGAAGCTATAAACATCGCGGAGACTTTGCCAGTG